TGGAGGTACTCCCAAATAGTCTAGGCGGTTAGGATACGTGGCTTTCACCCACGCGACCCGGGTTCGAGTCCCGGTTTGGGAATTTTGCTTTACGCTCCTGTTGCCGTCACACTTGCACAATTCGTCTGGAAGCAATACGTTCAAGACACAGCGTGCGACTTGTTCTCATCTCATGGCTGTGTGCAGCCAGAGACATGTGTGTGAGGCGTCAATTGTCCAGTCAGTAGCGTTTCGACTCGTGTAGTGTCGACGGGACCACGTAAGATGCAGCTCACAGTTCAATGTTGCAATGTTAGTTGACGGGGTCAATACACGTGTGCATACAGTGTGTAGTTGCTATGCAGTATGTGATAGCTATGCAGTATGTAGTTGCTATGCAGTATGTGGTAGCTGCGAACGGAGCGTGTAGTTTGAAGCAGTGTAAAAAGTGGAGGTACTCCCAAATAGTCTAGGCGGTTAGGATACGTGGCTTTCACCCACGCGACCCGGGTTCGAGTCCCGGTTTGGGAATTTTGCTTTACGCTCCTGTTGCCGTCACACTTGCACAATTCGTCTGGAAGCAATACGTTCAAGACACAGCGTGCGACTTGTTCTCATCTCATGGCTGTGTGCAGCCAGAGACATGTGTGTGAGGCGTCAATTGTCCAGTCAGTAGCGTTTCGACTCGTGTAGTGTCGACGGGACCACGTAAGATGCAGCTCACAGTTCAATGTTGCAATGTTAGTTGACGGGGTCAATACACGTGTGCATACAGTGTGTAGTTGCTATGCAGTATGTGATAGCTATGCAGTATGTAGTTGCTATGCAGTATGTGGTAGCTGCGAACGGAGCGTGTAGTTTGAAGCAGTGTAAAAAGTGGAGGTACTCCCAAATAGTCTAGGCGGTTAGGATACGTGGCTTTCACCCACGCGACCCGGGTTCGAGTCCCGGTTTGGGAATTTTGCTTTACGCTCCTGTTGCCGTCACACTTGCACAATTCGTCTGGAAGCAATACGTTCAAGACACAGCGTGCGACTTGTTCTCATCTCATGGCTGTGTGCAGCCAGAGACATGTGTGTGAGGCGTCAATTGTCCAGTCAGTAGCGTTTCGACTCGTGTAGTGTCGACGGGACCACGTAAGATACAGCTCACAGTTCAATGTTGCAATGTTAGTTGACGGGGTCAATACACGTGTGCATACAGTGTGTAGTTGCTATGCAGTATGTGATAGCTATGCAGTATGTAGTTGCTATGCAGTATGTGGTAGCTGCGAACGGAGCGTGTAGTTTGAAGCAGTGTAAAAAGTGGAGGTACTCCCAAATAGTCTAGGCGGTTAGGATACGTGGCTTTCACCCACGCGACCCGGGTTCGAGTCCCGGTTTGGGAATTTTGCTTTACGCTCCTGTTGCCGTCACACTTGCACAATTCGTCTGGAAGCAATACGTTCAAGACACAGCGTGCGACTTGTTCTCATCTCATGGCTGTGTGCAGCCAGAGACATGTGTGTGAGGCGTCAATTGTCCAGTCAGTAGCGTTTCGACTCGTGTAGTGTCGACGGGACCACGTAAGATACAGCTCACAGTTCAATGTTGCAATGTTAGTTGACGGGGTCAATACACGTGTGCATACAGTGTGTAGTTGCTATGCAGTATGTGATAGCTATGCAGTATGTAGTTGCTATGCAGTATGTGGTAGCTGCGAACGGAGCGTGTAGTTTGAAGCAGTGTAAAAAGTGGAGGTACTCCCAAATAGTCTAGGCGGTTAGGATACGTGGCTTTCACCCACGCGACCCGGGTTCGAGTCCCGGTTTGGGAATTTTGCTTTACGCTCCTGTTGCCGTCACACTTGCACAATTCGTCTGGAAGCAATACGTTCAAGACACAGCGTGCGACTTGTTCTCATCTCATGGCTGTGTGCAGCCAGAGACATGTGTGTGAGGCGTCAATTGTCCAGTCAGTAGCGTTTCGACTCGTGTAGTGTCGACGGGACCACGTAAGATACAGCTCACAGTTCAATGTTGCAATGTTAGTTGACGGGGTCAATACACGTGTGCATACAGTGTGTAGTTGCTATGCAGTATGTGATAGCTATGCAGTATGTAGTTGCTATGCAGTATGTGGTAGCTGCGAACGGAGCGTGTAGTTTGAAGCAGTGTAAAAAGTGGAGGTACTCCCAAATAGTCTAGGCGGTTAGGATACGTGGCTTTCACCCACGCGACCCGGGTTCGAGTCCCGGTTTGGGAATTTTGCTTTACGCTCCTGTTGCCGTCACACTTGCACAATTCGTCTGGAAGCAATACGTTCAAGACACAGCGTGCGACTTGTTCTCATCTCATGGCTGTGTGCAGCCAGAGACATGTGTGTGAGGCGTCAATTGTCCAGTCAGTAGCGTTTCGACTCGTGTAGTGTCGACGGGACCACGTAAGATACAGCTCACAGTTCAATGTTGCAATGTTAGTTGACGGGGTCAATACACGTGTGCATACAGTGTGTAGTTGCTATGCAGTATGTGATAGCTATGCAGTATGTAGTTGCTATGCAGTATGTGGTAGCTGCGAACGGAGCGTGTAGTTTGAAGCAGTGTAAAAAGTGGAGGTACTCCCAAATAGTCTAGGCGGTTAGGATACGTGGCTTTCACCCACGCGACCCGGGTTCGAGTCCCGGTTTGGGAATTTTGCTTTACGCTCCTGTTGCCGTCACACTTGCACAATTCGTCTGGAAGCAATACGTTCAAGACACAGCGTGCGACTTGTTCTCATCTCATGGCTGTGTGCAGCCAGAGACATGTGTGTGAGGCGTCAATTGTCCAGTCAGTAGCGTTTCGACTCGTGTAGTGTCGACGGGACCACGTAAGATACAGCTCACAGTTCAATGTTGCAATGTTAGTTGACGGGGTCAATACACGTGTGCATACAGTGTGTAGTTGCTATGCAGTATGTGATAGCTATGCAGTATGTAGTTGCTATGCAGTATGTGGTAGCTGCGAACGGAGCGTGTAGTTTGAAGCAGTGTAAAAAGTGGAGGTACTCCCAAATAGTCTAGGCGGTTAGGATACGTGGCTTTCACCCACGCGACCCGGGTTCGAGTCCCGGTTTGGGAATTTTGCTTTACGCTCCTGTTGCCGTCACACTTGCACAATTCGTCTGGAAGCAATACGTTCAAGACACAGCGTGCGACTTGTTCTCATCTCATGGCTGTGTGCAGCCAGAGACATGTGTGTGAGGCGTCAATTGTCCAGTCAGTAGCGTTTCGACTCGTGTAGTGTCGACGGGACCACGCAAGATGCAGCTCACAGTCCAATGTTGCAATGTTAGTTGACGGGGTCAATACACGTGTGTAGCCGAGCTTCTGTAGCTATGCTACAGATGCACTATGTGCAGAGGAAGACATGCTCAGAGAGATTCTACGTTTTAGAGTGTTTAATCTCCTAGGCTTGCTCGTAAGCTTGTGCCTATCGGTATTATTCGAGTCTTAAAGAGACTAGTATCAAAGTTTTACAATTATTATACGGAATAGTATGCTCTAGCGCTCTACAGCGCAGGTTTGAAACTGCTTTATATTTATCTTTTAACACTAAATATAGAAGCACCTATCCTATACTTAGTGCTAGTCACTATTACTGGCTCTGTAGCCTATTAATATGTAAACATGTATAGTCACTGTGGTGTGGCCGTACCAAGGTGCAATGGGTTCACATTGTGGCAGGAAGCGCGTTACAATTGAGCTTCGTCAGACAAGGCAAAAGGAAATTGTGGGTAAATGTATCGGTGAAATAGGTATCTTGCTCCAGATAATGACTTTGCACTAACTTTAGATAAAAAGTGGAGTGTGCTAACATACATAGTCTGAGCTTACTGGTATAAAGTAAGGGGTCTGTCCATTTTAGGTTCACCAATTCAAAAGTCGTTACTTCCAGTATTTGTACAATTCCCAAAGAACGATGTAAATACAAGTGCACTGAAGGCAGCACAATAATTTTTTTATCCCTAGTCATGGCTACATTTCGTGTAATTTCTCTTTTTTTTAAATCTTGCATTGGGCCAGAGCACCTTCAAATTGGTGGAAGGGTACTAGTTTTTTGTTGATTAAAAGGTAGTATTCTAAATTTGGAAAAACACACGATGTATCTACAATTCAGGCTTTATCTCACAACTCTATAGCGTCGAGTGCGTCCTCTAGGCGGTAATTGTCCATAATGTACATTAAGTATTAGTAGTCTACTGTGATGACTGCCATTCTTGACCGCTGCAGCTGTGCGAGAAGCACAAGGAGGTGTCTGAAAGTATTAGAAGAATGCTTGATGAGGTGCAGTTTTTTGGAGTAGAACTTTCAGTTGACAGTTTTATGAATATGGCAAAGAATTCCTTCTGAAGTAGAAGAGCAGCAGCAGCTAAGAAAAACCAACGACCTGTCGGATATACGACTGCGATGGCGGTTAAGAATTTTGAACGTCACATGTTGTTGGAGGTCAATGCTACCGACGGACGCGTCACGAGAAGGCGCTTTCGCTTCTTCACATTTCAGAAGAAGACAGTTGTGCATACTCAAGATCGCTGTACTTTGACTTGTACTTGGACGTAACTTCAGCTTAGTCTTGCGAGCCTCGTGCTTACTTGCTAGATACAATGCACGTTATGCACGCACTATCAGTACGCGAGCTGTTGAGGCGTCAAATCTGTTTTGCGGAGCAAATGCTTTCTATAATAAGTTACCGGCGAGGTTCGTCTGTTCAAGCGGCTTGAGAAACAGCAGACTCATCACTTTCATGAGCAGGAAAGGAGCTTCAAAGCAAAGCATTGACGACTGTTTAGCGAAGCAATTGCAAGATTAGAATTAATGATGCAAGTCACCTATGTTCATGAAACTTGAAATTTGTGTTAACTTGTCAGTGCTTGATGGCGGTTTGCCGGGCTTACTACGAAGTATTACAAGATGGAAAATGAATCGTGGTCCGACCAAGAGAGGATACATGACGCTACTCATGACCGCTTAACCTGAACTGCCAAACTAGAAGCAGTCCTCTTAAGTGATGACCGTGGGTGCGTTGCGACCTGTTTTCTTCACCAGGTCCGACAGCTTCAGACCCACCTTGATCAACTTATCCAGCGCCACAGCGGCGTTTTCGTCCAATTTGCCCGTCGCCTCTTCGTACTTCTCAATGTACATACGGATTGTCGCGCCGGCAACGCCCGTTCCAGATAGACGAAAGACGACGCGCGACCCGCCCTCAAACAAGAAGCGGACACCCTGATGTGACGACACGCTGCCGTCCACAGGGTCCACGTACTCAAACTCGTCAGCCTTTTCGATCTTGAATCCGTCAATCTCCTTGCCTACAACGCCGTCAAACTTAGTCATGTCGGCGAACATATTTTCAGCAGCGGTCTTGTCCACATTTTCGTAGTCGTAACGGCAGTAGTAGTTGCGGCCAAATTTCTTCCAGTGATCGCGCACAACGTCCTCGACAGTCACGAGAGGAGCGCCGTCGACCTGCTTCGACGCCAGGATCGACAGCCAGCTCAACACAGCCCACATACCGTCCTTCTCACGAATGTGGTTCGAGCCTGTACCAAAGCTCTCCTCACCACAAATGAACGGAGTGTAGTCCTCCTTGCCAAAAACGACATTTGAGTCCATTAAATTACCAAAGAATTTCCAGCCTGTCGGCACCTCGAAAAAAGGCACGTTCAACTTCTTCGCCACGAGGTCCACAGCACCGCTCGTAGGCATTGAACGAGCAACTCCACGCAGACCGTTCTTGAAGAAAGGAATTACCGAGCAGTTGGCAGCGATAATTGCGAGTGAATCCGAAGGCGTTACAAAGAAACGCGAACCCAGAATCATGTTACGGTCAGCATCACCATCCCAAGCGGCACCGAACGAAGGCGGCTCCTGTTCCTGACCCAGTACAGGCAGACCGTTGCCGTCGACACCCATGATCTTGACCAAAGCCTTAGCGTACGTTAAATTTGGATCTGCGTGTCCGCCGTTAAAGTCTTCCATAGGAGTGGCGTTCAGCAAGCATGACTCGTCGCAGCCCAGCTCTTCCACAAACACGCGGCGTGCATAAGGACCGTTCACACCAAACATCGAGTCCACGACGAATGTGAAGTCGGAGCGCGACACCAACTTTTTAATGGCATGGAAGTCAAAGATCTGCTTCAGCAAAGCGACATGGTGTTCAGCCGAGTCAAACACCTCAACCGTAATTGTACGACTGCCATCGTCAGCAGCGACTGTTGTTGTGCCAATCTTGGCTATGTCAATCATGGGGAAGTCTGCAGCAATCTTGTAAGACGTTATCACCTTTGATAAAGCAAAAATTTCGTCTGTCACCTTCTCTGACGCAGGGCCGCCGTTCTCGCAGTTGTACTTGATACCAAAATCCTCGTTTGGACCACCAGGGTTGTGGCTAGCTGACAAAATGAACGCACCAAATGCTACACTGCCGCCCTCACGCTCGCGCACAACAGCCGACACACACGGTGTGCTCAGCAAACCATCCTTACCAATCCAAAGACGGTCAACCCCGTACGCCACAGCCATCTTGACGACGATTTGAATGGCCTCCTTGTTAAAGTAGCGACCATCACCTGACACAACCAGCGTTCCACCGTTCAGGTCCTTCGTAGGAAGCGCATCAAAAACAGAAGCAACAAAGTTCTGCAGGTAATTGTCGTTCATGAATGTCTTGGTCTTTTTACGCAAACCGGAGGTGCCGGGCTTCTGATCTTGAAATGGAGATGTCTTCACGGTTGTCACTTTCAGCTTACCCAGGCCCTTCTGCTCAGTTAGGTCCAGTATGGTGTCCTTGTAAGTACCAGCAAGGACAGTCTTTTGCTCCGAACTTCTGTTTACGACCTCCACGGAGCCCTCAAACACAACACCCGGCGCAAAACCAACGTCACCGGATACCTTTAGGCGGTCGCACTTGATTAGCGACGGCACATTACCACGCACCGCAGCCTCCAGCTGCTGCACCAGCTTAAAGTTCTTCGAGTCAAGCGATACGATTGGAGCCACGCCTTCGCGCTGAGGAGCGATAACGGGGCGGTAATCCTCAGTAATCACGTATGCGTCCGAGCGCAACAAGATTAGATCATCACATTTCTTCACAGGGGCGAAACGTGTGCGCGGTACGCAAACAGCACCAGCACCATCAAAGCACTCGATTGCAGCACCCATGGCAGTCTCAAGCTGGAACACTGGAGTCGAGCTCGAGTCCTTCGGATCCACGGTCTTCATGTTCTTGATCATCGGCAGACGAATGACACCACCATGCTGCTTTAGCTCTTCCTGTAGCTTGTCCAGACGGATCCATAGATTGTTTGTATTAAAGTATCGATGCTTGGTAATATTCTGAAACTCCTTCTCGTCTTCTTCAGCGCACTGAGCAGACTCGCGAAGGATTAGGCGGCCATCAACTATGCGCTGTGCCAGGTGTCCACCCTTCTTGTCGCTCTCTGTGCGCTCACAGCACTCCATGAGGAAAGGCTTGCCAGACTGCGCAAAATACGTTAGCAAGTCTAGATCGAGTGTAGCACCCAGATTGTCCGAGTTGGATACAAACATATACTTGACGCCGTCGGCAACAAGCTTATCCAACTTTCCTGATCCAGCAAGCGATGCGTAAAGGTCACCGTGTCCCGGCGGGCACCACTCCTTCGAGGGGGTTGGTCGAGTACGTAGCCGGCTCTAAGCTCAAAGCGTCTACCTTTGGCACCTTGTTCTGTAGCAGTTCCAGTGTCTCATCCTCAACTAGCTCAGGATACTTTTGCAAGTACTCAAGGGTGTCTGCACTCGTGCTAAAACTGTTCATAAGCACAAAACGTACATGGGACTTGTGGGTATTCCGTAGCTCTGTTACTTGCTTGGCCATAATGTCTAGGAAAGTGTCGTCACCCTTGACAGGTAGTAAAGATTTTGCCTTGTCAAGGCCCATACTAGTGCCAAGACCACCATTCAACTTAAGTACGACCGTTTCCTTAAGAAGTTCCGGATCGGCTTTAATCGACTCGCGAATGCTGCCAGTCTTATTTTCAAGGTACGGTAGATTATCAAATGGTTTAATCGAGTCCTCAGTGATCATACCCGTCTCACCGCTCACAAGGGCCTCGTAAGAGTATTCAAAAGCTTTAATAGCTTCCGTCGATAGACCAGCGGTCTGCATCTTAATACGGTACGCGTCAAATTGCGTCATGGTGCTCTTACTGGGGTTAGAACGGGAACCGCGCAGCGCTGGGAGAGGAAATTTCCAGTTAAAAATCTTCGTTTTTGCTCGACGTTTCAAAACAGAAAATGAGATGGAAAGGGAAAGGATCGCAGTGGATACCCTCAATTTAGTAACATACTTAAATAGTAGAATTCATTCAGAATAGTGACAAAAGAACGAAGGAATACAAAGTAGAGAAGGACATCCATGAAGTCAACTTTACCAAAACTGATTCAAAGTAACAAAAGCATCGGTTACTTCAGTACATAAGACAATTCAATTAAGGTGAGAATTAATTGTACCTACATGGATACATTCATGATATATGGTCCAAGTAAAGTAGTTTATTTGCAATCACTCGATATGAATGAGTATCTAAGCTTGCGCATGAAGAAAACAACAAGGTCCCAATTGCTTCCACGTGTCGTCCAATATCAACCGCGTGTTCCTATTGCAACATACTGAAGGTTGTAGGGTCGCGCTGTGCCCATCACTTACACTATACTTTTAGAACAGATCTCATTAAGTGCGGAAAATCAGACCGAATCCAAAGTGCGACAATAAGCCAACATGCATGCAAACAACAGCCTTTTACCAGTTTCATAGTGCATATTGTCCAAGATGTTTGTACCCAATGCTGTTTGCTTACCTTGAATATAATAATGAGACCCGTTGGAAGCCATACTTCAGTACTAGAAACAGACCACTGCACTGGATGCCTGCAATGTGTACATTTGCGCGGTCCGTCTTCACGTTGTAGCGCCATGACTTAATCGTGAAAAACCTTTACACTCCTTGACGATTGGCTACCATTCTTTGTATCGAGCAACAAAATGCTGCATTTGAATGCTGATACGTACATTCTTCACCAGAATGTTTACTTGTAGTCGGTTACAACTTGCATTATCGAGTGTGGAGAGGTAAATAGCATGTTTGTCTGGCGTTTGGACTTACTTTCTACAAAGCATAATCAGAACAAAGGAATCCGTACAAACGTCTCAGTGTGGCTCACACAATAAGCCCATTCTAAACAGTTTACCTATGGAATAGAATACCAGTGGTAGGTCCCTCCAACACAATCGCTTAGCTCAGTAAGTGCTCATTCAGTCTCACTTACTACTACTTACTGCTTACTTACTATACATCAGCCATGTCCAAGCGTGCACACTCCAAGATCTCATCAGGTGGTGTGCTTGATAGTATGCTGAACTCACTATCACGTACAAACGAGTCGACACTTACAGCAAAGAAGGCGGAAGCTCAGGTGGCCAAACTCACGGCAGGCCGTGGCCAGACAATTACCGTGGACGATAACTCAGTCGCACCTGATGCTGCAATTGCTCAGTTTCTGCTTGATATGCGCGCAATGATTGATGAAAAAGGATTTGGTGCTAACGTGGAGGTGGAGCTACGGCTTGGCCGCATCATGTCGTGTCTGCAAGAGGCGCGTTGCCGCCCGTCCCAGGAGGGAGTGGACGCGGCCATCGCACTGTCGGACACGCAGATGAAGGCCGTGGGTGCCAAGTTTTCTCCAGGTGTGACTGAGATGGACTATAAGGGATTTATGCGCGGTGTGGAAGGTATGCTAAGAGGAGATGCGTACTCAGAGCACAAGGAGAAGCAGGTAGTGCACAACATGGCGCAGTCGAAGCGCTTGGTGCAGGATGTGGACCCGCAGACTAGTATGAGAGGTAAATGCATGGTTCAGATAAAGGAGCGGCTGGGCTCTATTGACATCTTCATGCCACACTGCCAATATGATTGTCGCGTGTCCATCTCGTGTGAGTTCCCTTTGCGCGAGTTGGAGGGAGACATGAGTGAGATGCCGGCAGCTGAAAGTATCCGTCACAAAGATCGCGTGTCGGCTGTTGGACGCGATTTACGTGTGGACCTTACCAAGGTGTTGGATGAAAGCACGAACAAAAAGTCATTTGAGGTCGAGGTAGAGTTAAGCGAGCCGGCTGTGAATGGATGGCTCAGTCAGCCCGACGAAAATGGGCAGAGCTGGAAGAGTGCAGTTGAAACGTCGTCGCTGCTATGGAAGATGGTAAAATACTTTATGCCTAGTTCGGGACAGGCATTTAAATGTCATTGGGACTTTCCAGGTGCAACGGAAGTGCAAAATGCCTATCAAGGGCGTTTGGGGATTCGTGGCAAGTTTAGTGGAACGATGCCCGTGGGCTTTGCACGCTGGCATATTCCCCTTGTGCAAAGTCGCGAGTATTTCGTTTCGGAAAAGACGGATGGCGTTCGCTACTTTCTCGTTGTGGCTGGTGGCAACACGGTGCTGGTAGATCGCTCCAATTCGCCTTTTGCTGCATCAGGTTTAGACTTGCTAAAGCTGGTGTTGCCCGAAGGCACAGTGCTTGATGGAGAGCTTGTGGTGAGCTGCTAGGGCCAACCAAAGATGAATGCTTTCTACAGGAGTCGGCTTTCTTGTCTTTGCGGCGATACTAATTCACGATGTTTACTCTGTAGTTTCATCAAAAGGATAAGCGCTACGTGTTCATTGCGTTTGATATCATCGCAACAGGCTCATCAGCTGAAGACTCCCACGTTGACAAACCGTTTGTTGAGCGGCTCCGAATATTGAACGATTTTTTGTCGGAAGAGTGCGATCTTCATTTTACTTGTAAAGTTTGCGTAATTTATCTGACATTTTGTGTTTATTTTTCTTTGTTTGAATTGAAGTGGCCCCTACGCATCGGGCATTCGCAACCTGGACATTACCCGTCACGCAATTATGCTTATTCTGCGTAAAAAATGGGTGCCACACCGCCATATTATGGACGTTTTCCGCCAAATTCAGCGTGTGCAGAAGCGTGACCAGAGTCTTGGTCGCATCTACAGTGATGACAAACGTGTGCATTATACCGACGGTGTTGTGTTCTGCCCGAACACTAAATACGTGACGAACACGCACCAAGAATATCTGAAGTGGAAGTGGACGGATCTCATTACTTTAGACTTTCTGACCACGCTGAACCAGGCAGGTGATGGTGTTCAGTTGTCATGCGGTGGCCCCCGTAACTCTTACGTGGAGCTGGATTCAATCGTGCGGTTGGACCCGAAGGATATACCTGTGGTGCTAAAAATCGTTATGAGGATGCCCAGCCGCCAAGCCGTGCTGGAATTTGGCTTCAACGCAGACAAGGGACTTTGGAATTACAAGTGCGCCCGCCCAGACAAGGATTGTGCCAACTACATTCGTACTGTTCTCGGCTCGCTTGTAAATATGGCCGAAAGCATTTCCGAGGAAGAGCTGCAGTATCGACTCACGAACCCGAATGGCCAGGAATGGAACAACCACATGAAGCGCCTGCGCCGCTCGCTGTTAGAGCAGTCCAAGTAAGTACATAGTACTACAGTATTGCTACATGTAGTAGAACAGTAATTAATAATGTCTAACCGACAATGCATACAAGGAGTCCTGCATTCGTGCACGGCATTTTGTGGAACCTAAACGGAGGCCAAATAATTAAAGCCAAAAAGTAAACCTTACTTTACACAAAGGTAGTAAGCCGATCCTAACCACCACATTGCACGCAGGTCGACTACACGTAGAGAACAGCAGAAAACCGCCAGCTTCGTTTCATCCATAATCACACAGCAGGATTGCTTTCCCTTAGCCTCGTCAGCACTCCGTCACGTTATCCGTCACTTCGCTAAATGACCAGGGATCTATTTTCCGTCTCATAGTAATTGCTTCACCTCTTACCAAAGAATAGGGAGAAACAGTCACACCCTCTCACAAACACAAGCATTTCTCAACAAATGGCAATTCACGCCAGCGAATGGCATTGAGATGACCTGCTCATAGCACACTCCGCCACAGCTTGTTCAGCAAATGCATGCACGCTTGGTTGTTGGTCACCCATACAATAAACTGCAGCAGAGACATGAGGACACGAAGGTTAGTATAAGCTCACTCCAGTACTCATTGAGGCGTAGCAAATACTCTCACTTACTTTGGCGCGTTGAGTAGGGGTAAGGATATTCTGCAATTTGTCCATCTCCATGTCTAAGGTGGAGTTTTTGTTTGTCACTTCCGTCTTTAGCTCCGCCAGCAGTCCCAGTGCGCTCTTTAGGTTCTCGCAAATCAGTGAGATCGAGCCCCGCTGCTGCTGAATCTTCTTTTTCTGGTCTTCGCTCAGCCCCAGCTCCTTAGCCAAAATAACTGGTAGACTGGTCTCGTCCTCTTCGTCCTGCCAGAAGCTGTCATCCTGGCGAAGGGCCCAGATGCACATCTTTGTTACCTGGGTGGGCAAGAGCAGTCGCTCAATCTGATGGAGGTGGTAGCTTAACGCCGAGCGACGGCCATGACCGTAGTCCGAGTACTGCTCCTTGAAATTGTCAATCTTCTCGGCAAGCTCCTTCTCAGAAGCGCCGCACTGGATCATCTGCTTGAGTTCTTCGCATACAAGATTTTTCTCCTTCTCCTCTTGCCGAATTGCCTCTTTTCCGGCCTTCAATTGTCCTCGTAGCTCCATATTCTCGCGCTCCAATTGGCGGCATCGCTCCTCGACGCCCAGAATGTGCTCTCTCTTGCGACGTCGGCACTCACGTGCCGATTCTCGATTGCGCTCAAGCTTAAGCTTGCGCTGCAGATTGGTCATCTCACCAACGTTATTATCGCTGCCACTGCTGGATGATGGTTTCTCCATTTTAGGTGACTTAGCGGTCGGAGCTGATGTACCTTTATGAACGGCTCGACGCTTCTGCACCAGCGCATTATTAGCACTCTCAAGATGGCGCAACAGTCCCTCCGTATTGGTCAGACTCTTAGTGTGCAAGTCCCTAGCCAAATCCAATGCTTCAACAACCGAGCGTTTCTTACCACGCTGGGTTTGTACGGGTTTAATGGGCGCGGACATTGTTGCTGGAGCCGTAGTAGTGGCGGCTGGCGTCATAACCGGCAGCGCCATTGTAACTGCACCCGTCTGAACGAGTGATGTCGACGCCGTTGCGTGTAACGCTAATGAAAGATTAGTATCATCCCCTACGCCAAGTATACGGAATGGATCATCAAGTGAATGACTAGTATCCACGGATGGAGGATGACCACCTATCCCAGTGGGTGCCGTCATGTTCTCCGAGTTGAATAACAGCCATGAAAACATATCACGATTGGTTGCGCCCATTAGCTCCATATCGGCAGCAACGTCAATACCAGTTGTCATAGTAGGCGTGCGGGGTAGCGAGGAGACGTCTTTCATCTTAGTCCGCAAGTGGTGATGACGCGGCGTGCTCACTGAGAACGTTCGCGCTCCAAGTATTTTTTCTCAGTATTACTTAAACCAGGCGGTCAACAGCAGCTGCTCTAGCACCACCGAACAGAGAGTGTTCGGTGGCGCAAACACCTACTCGCCTCTAAACAGTGTATTTTCACTGGGTTTTATTGTACACCTGATTGCGTGACAATGGCGACGTGGAGGGGGATGGACAGTATGTATAGAAGATTGCCATGATTTTATAGTGGTCGCCATATCTCTACTACAGTGTTATTCGAAATGCTTTCGATTTGCTCGAATGCTACAATTGCGCTAGAACAAACTCCTACTGTAGTGTAAGCTCAAGTATTTTTCATATGACTCATTCCCGCGCTTTGACGGTAGTGATGTCATCGCTAGGAAAGTGCGTGTGTGCAAAAGACGGGCAATAATGAGCCATCAATGATAAACTCAGGCTGAGCCACTCACGTCCACGGCCAGAATCTGGCGGTTTCAATGGCGCCAGATACCGTCAAACAGTGCTGTTTGTCCTGGCAGCCGACTTCCAAATCGGAGCTCATGGAACTCTGGCGGCGAGCGCCACCGTTGCTACATGTATTGCGTATATATGGTAATGATGCACTTGTGGTGAGCATAAGCAATCTTCTAATAAGCCAGGACAGTCCCCTTCGTATCAGCATAGCAAAAACGTTCTCACCTCGAAATGTAGCAACGTCTCAGATCAACTTGAAACAGCTTGACCAGCCTGGCTGCAACTAAAGTTAAACACAACAATGCTGAACGCCTTCTAGCGCAGCTTGCCTCTTGTCTAACGCACGCTATGCTCATTATGAAGGGCATCACCGCGGCAAAAAGTCATTTATCTAAACATACCGCAACAAACCTACTTGCATTACATGGATCACCGGGTGGAATAAGGTAGGGCCATGCCCAGATCTCCTGCACCCTCAAAATCTACCGAGTCTTCATTCATTATGTATTGATAGTCTACATCCATTCTACTCTATGCTCAGCAGCGACGATTCCGGATTAAACCGAAAATTGTCTCTCTTCCACGGTCCCATTCTATTAAGTCAAATAAGGCGCCTGTTATGTCCAGCATATTTATCCAATCAAGTGCAGCCTCGGGCATTACTGGCTGTTTGAATGGATTACAAATAAGAGGACAAAAACTGGTCATAAAAAAAAAAAAATCCCCGGCGCTGTACTTAAATACAAACCAGCTGCTTGGAAAAGAAGGTAACGTGAAGGTTGTGTGAATCGCTCGGTCACAAATTTCGCTCAGATTTTTGATCAGTCGCTGAGGTTGCACGTATAAGAATTCGACACGTTGTCAGATTGCGAGGCACGTCGTCGTCAGGCCGTTGGGTGAAAAGAAGCAACAATCTCTGTGCAGTCCACATTTGCCGCGTATAAGAAAAGACTCGGGTACGTTTGTACACACGATACGGAACGGGGGGAGAGTTGTATGCTTTGTATAAAGTCTCTTTTCCTCTTTTGTTCTACGTGTTTTGTTGTTGTTGTTTTCTTCTTCTTTCTCTTGTATTGTGGTTGTTTTATTATTGAGATTGCTCATTCACGTATTTGTTGTATTGGTATAGGTTTTGTTTATCCGATACATTTTCTCCTTCTTCTCCTACTTCTCCTCCTTCTATTTCTCCTCCTCCTACTAGACAAGCATGGGCAACAAGGGATCCAAAGGTGCCAAAAGCCTACGTCCACCCATAAAGAGTGATTCACGTGGCTTCAAGTTTGGCAATTACTCTAACGGTGGCCGCGATGCTGGCAAGAGTGCACCTGCTGCACCCTCTTACCCGTCAAATGGGCCATCGTCGGTCCCTGGTCAGCCGCATTCCCAGCAGCAAACACAGCAGCAATCCCAGCAGCAGACTGAGGAGGAATGTACGTGTCTGCCGCTTACCAAGTAGTCTCTACTGCAACTAGGTTATAGCGTGCTGACGCACATGATTGTTTTTTTGTCTTTATCGTGTTGATTGTGTTTGATCACAGCCGACCTAGAGGAAGATGACTCTGGTCCGATTGAGCAGGTGCCCATTGAAGACATGGATGGCCCTGCACGACCTCAGACTAAGGTAAACGTGGAAGATTTTGACCTGCTAAAGGTGTTAGGCAAAGGAAGCTTTGGCAAGGTTATGATGGTACGCAAGAAGGACACAAAGATGATTTACGCCATGAAGACGCTGCGCAAGGCCGCACTCGTCAAGCGCAACCAGCTACTGCATACCAAGACGGAGCGTAGCATTCTGCAAAGCATCAAGCACCCGTATCTGACCAGTCTAACATACGCTTTCCAAACGCCCGATAAGCTTTACCTCGTTATGGACTACTGTGGCGGCGGCGAGCTTTTCTTTTGGCTGAAGAAGGACCGTCGTTTTTCTCAACAGAAGGCGCGTCTCTTTGCGGCTGAAATTATCCTTGCTCTCCAAGAGCTGCACAAGCATGACATCATTTACCGTGACTTGAAGCCTGAGAATATTCTGCTTGACTTGGAGGGCCACATTCGCCTAACGGACTTTGGTCTTTCGAAGGAGGCTGTCACTGGTGCCGGTGCATCCGGTGGCACTAAGACGTTTTGCGGCACGCCTGAGTACTTGGCCCCAGAGATTCTGGAGAACAAGGGCCACGGCAAGGGTGTGGACTGGTGGAGCTTGGGAACGCTAATTTACGAGATGCTTACGGGTCTCCCGCCCTTTTACGATCAGAACATGCAGCGTATGTACGATAAGATTTTGAATGCACCGCTACGCTTCCCGTCTTTCATGTCAGCGGAAGCCAAGGACCTTTTTGACGGGTTTGCTGACGCGTAAGGTGTCGGACCGTCTTGGAAGCGGTCCCACGGACGCCGAGGAAATCAAAGCGCACCCGTTTTTTAAAGGCATTGACTGGGAAGCTGTATTGCGCAAGGAGGTGCAGCCAGAGTTCAAGCCGCCTAACCGGTTGGGTTCTATGGACACGAGCAACTTTGATGTTGAGTTCACTGCTGAAAAGCCTGTGGATTCTGTTGTGACCACGACAATGAGCGAGACTCAGCGCAACAAGGCGCAATTTCCTGGCTTTACATACAATGCGGATACCATCGATGAAGACCATAAGGGCAATTAAGCCTGCTGGTGCTGAAACCTACGAGCTCTTTGTCAGTCGGGTACTTAGATGAGGAAAGACTGGAATCGACGCAAAGAGGGTGAATGGCGAAAGTAGGTAGACTCATTGTGCGGGAACGCAGCATTCGAATCGAAATTGCTGCTTACTTGTCTGCAAACAGTATACTAGCGGCGAGACATGTTTTTTTTCATAGTGTATGTGGCGATGGCTCTCGATTTTTTCCGTCCGCTGGCTGACCCTGTGTACGTGCAAGATGACGAAAAATAGCTAAGAAATGACAAAAACAATGGACGAATGAATGAATCGGTCAGTTGTTCTTTGCTGCATAGTTAGTTGTGTCTTGAGATAACACGTGCGGATGTGCGTATACTAAAGCTAATGACATTTGTTGCGCAAATAAGTGAAGGCAGCCAAGTCATGGTCTGTGGTTTCTCTTCTTGCCGCCCGAGTTAATGTGAACACCGGAAGCACCACCAGGCAAGTCCGAGTCTTCATACGGGTTCTTATCACGTCCCTTGCGTCCTTTACGACCGTGCTTCTTCAGTCGCTTGCTTACGACGTGTTTGTCTTCGACGTTGGTATCAAAATTCAGGCCCTCCTTCTCTGCATTTGCCGAAAGACTAGCTTCCTCGTCGGCACCATTGCCACTGCTTTCTGGGACAATTGGCTCCGCAATATCAGGAAACTGAGCCTTAGCAAGCTCATGGATGTCAAAGATAGTGGGGTCCGAGATATTCGGTGTAGGGTGGCAATACAGCAGTCGACCGTTTACATAGTGCCGCAAGATGTCGCGTGCTGCCCGCGAGGTGTCAGGGCCTCCTTTGCCAGTCGTCGTATAGCCGCGGTTGCGGGCATAAGACTGTAGTAGGAACAAGGGAGGTGAGATGCAACAACTAGCATCTTGTGTGTTTTGTACGCACCTCTAGAAGCGCATAAATACCAACGGGGTCGGTTTCTTTTGCTGTCTTGGAAGAAGGAATCTTGATTCCGTACGTTCGTTCAAACACTCGCTTTGGAATACGATGACACAGGAGTTGGCACGGTGCTGTGTAATTTGCAAAACACCCACAGAAAGTTGTCAGGACATACAAAAGTAATCAATCAAACAAAAAATATAAGACCCAGTGACTCACAGATATGGTCACGAAGCTGCGAGATAGGCAGTACACCGCAACAGTACATCTCAGCCTTCGAGTTGACAAAACTTGGGAACACGAGACCAGGGCAATCGCACAGCATGATTTTATCGGACAGAATCATAGTCTACAGGTTAATGTGTAAGACAGACGCGTCAGTTCATCATAGCTTTCAAAGCACCATCCAAACGCATTCATACCTGAAAGTGTTTAGTCTTTCCAGGGGTAGCACCGACAGCAACACGCTGAGTCTTGTGGGAGTACGTCGACGCACCCAGCAGTGCATTTATCACGGAACTCTTTCCAACATTGGGAAATCCTACCATACCAAACTTGATCAAACCATTGTCCTTCACTCGCACGCCTACCTCGTCCAGCACCTCCGAAGCAATTTTGGTCATATATTCCAGCAGATCGACACGCGACAATACCGGATGCAGGTTGGTCTCTTCGTTGGTATTAACCTTTTCTTTCGCAAGCTGTAATGCTTCTGCCGGCTTCACTTTGTCGTATTGGTCGTGACTTTCGGCATTTCTCTGCTCCTGTCGCAACTTTTTAGCTTCCTTATCAATTTCGTCCTGAGCCTCCTTGGCCGAGAAGAAGACAAAATCTATGTTTTCCGCTTTGAAGTGATCTCCCCAAGCCATTCTGCAGAGTACGTTAGAGATTGAGACGACCACATCAAAAGTGGTGCCCAAGATAAAAAAAAAATCTCACCGTTGGCGTTCATCCAAAAAGTCGGCCTTATTGACAATCAAAAGTGTCCGTCTAAGCATATCACCTTCCTTTGCATACGCGTCTAGGTCCGTCGATCTGTAAGAAAAATAGTGCAATCAATTCAGTATATCGGTAACAAAGCAAGATGAATTGAAATCTACAAGACTTATACCGAAAGAATAGTGGGTTTCGAGCATCTACGATTTGCACCATGATATCACTCCGCTCGCGAACATGCCACAATTGTCGCCACACTTCCAAGTTCTTTTCAAACGGAGTTACCTCCAAGTGATCAGACGAAGCCTCCAATCTGCACGAAAGAATCGCCATACTTAGTGCTCTCTACTCGTTCATAAAACAACACTCAACCGCGATTCTCACAAGGCAATATCGCGACGCCACTTGAGAAAGCTCTCCTTTTCCATTTGATTCAGTTCCTCAGCCGTTGTTGACGTACTCCATTCAGGACGACGTGGTACTTTCATTTCTGCAAAGGTCATCTCGGGCACCACGTTCTTTTCTTTTCTACAAAAACAAGATACAAAATCAAATCGTCATCTTCATCCCTTCAGAGCTGCATCAATGCTACTTTCAAACACACAAACAGTAGTTATAATAACAGACATACGATTCAATAACTTGCGGTCCTGTATCTGCTTCGTCCATGAGTAAAATGTTTTCCTTTATGGCTGTAAATTCACGATTAGCCAACACGGCACTAGCAAGAAAATCATCCTAAACACACAATCGTAACATCCACATATATATAGTAGACACATATAACAGTATATTAGTCCTCTCTCTATGATCTCAATGTCATTCATATATAATGTATAACAACAACAAAACACACTAAGGATGAGCCTTCGAGATATGACGCCAGTGCCACAGAAGCGTCTCCACCGTCACGTTCAGATACGTGTTTACCAGCACTAGATGCAACATCTTTTGTGTTTACACGTGATGTTTTCTTTTGTGTACGAAGTAAAGCATTCCCTAGTTCTCCTTTCTTCACCTTCGTACCAGTACGACCCATTATTGCTTGATGGATATAACTACTAAAGTAATTATATGTGGTCCACGTTAAAATAGTAGGCACCTTTATTCTCGATGCAGCAACATTAATGACAGCTACTATATTAATACCAAAAAGACTGTGCTGTATAGTCGTATCATTCATTGGTGATAATCGTCCGAGACTAAACATCATTGCTAACACCCTTCAGCACATAAATACAGTTCACATTTGGCTCGTTTATCCTTCCATCTGGACCTCAGTAGTGGGCACTGCAGCAGTCTACACGTACAGCAGTAACATTAAACGTTAGCAAGTGCACCAACCACCATACTAGCTAGACACAAAAATAGACACACTTCCAAAATCTGCTTGATTGGAATACCACCAGACCGTGCATTATGCTGGAACAAAATCTTAGTCCAGCTGTCTGGAAGAGCTCTCTGCGGCGAACACCGCTTTACAAATGTCAGACTCGTTAGATGTGGGGTTTGGTATTCCACCACATCATTCACATCATTCAGCTCAAAAGAAAAACTTGCGAGATCTCCTTCACTCAACTACAAAAAATCACACCAAATTAAACAACGCCATACGCACGACAAAACTGAAGAGGAAGAAACCCAAACCTCATGTTGCTGAATGAGTTCTTGGTCGGCTGCGAAAAGAACGATACCCTCTAGCGTCGTAAACTCCTTCCCACCACCTTCAAGGCGAAGTACAATAGTTGGCTTTGCTGAAGTGACCAAAAAACGACTTGTGGTACCATCCTTCCACACCAACGCCAGCGGCGATAGCCCCATTTCATAATGGCCTGCCTTCATGTAAAAGAGAAGTCCATCTCTGCATCAAACACGCGCAAAACCCAAAGTGTAAGGACATTGTGTACGGCAGGCAACATTCAACCAAACAAAATGCCCACTTGAGAAACGGATACGTCGTTGAATACGCTGCCATGATTCCTGCCGGGTCACTCTCATAGCATGGAATAGGCTGCACACAGCAAAAACGTTTAGTACAGTGTGGCGGCATCAGACTCTACATGTTTTATGAACGTTTACCAGAAATCGAAATGGGTTGGCCGGCGTGACAGTCTCTGTCGCTCCTTCGGATAGCTTGTTCCGCATCCAGTAAAGTCGAAACTCCGTAGTGCAATTATATAGCAAATAACCTTTCCAGCACATGACGTCTAAAACGTAAAACGTTTCATTCTGTTCTTGAAAAATGCAATCCAAGATGCAATAGCCGTCATTGGCCTTATTGGTCTTGTATGACCCACACGGGAGCGCTGATGGAAATTTCTTCAAGATACTTCCTGCTGGGATTCTAGCAATCGTATTACCTCTTCAAAGACGTATAGATACATTACATTCAGCCATCACAAGATACAAAGATACAGTATCCTCACTCTACTTGTTACCGTACCCATTTGTAACTACTAGACAGCGTTTGCCCTCGGGCCTTGGCAATACGTACCAGCCTTCACCCAGCACACTACCATTGCCATTCAAGTCCTTTGGTACGTCAATCATCCACTCAGGCGTCATTAATTGCTTTGAAAAGTGTTCACGTCGCTTCTTTATGCGCTCCTCACGTGTTTTGTGCTTGGAGACATCAGTATAAATATCGTCCATTGGCGGTGCAGTGACGTCTTGAGACATGGACAAAGGCAATTGTACAAGCTGACGAGCATGTTCTGTAAGGTCTCTTCTAGCCTTTTTTTGCTTTGTTAACGTCGCTTGACGTCTTGCCGCTGCATCCTTCGTCCATGACTGTTGCTTGATGGCTATGCGTTTCATTATGGTAAAATAAGAATGTAGCCATATAAGTTATACATGATGTATACCTTGTATACACAAAGACAACGTAAGTACTACGTTTTGATCGTGTGTACTATTTTTTTTGTCACTCGTACTATTTTACTAAAATTTAGAAACTTGTTCAAAGCTCATGGAAGTAGTAATAGCACGTGAGGCAGAATATCGCGTCGAAGTTCCACCACAGATCGTCGTTAGTATACGATTAAAGAGTGGATCGGCAGAGCTCTTTGGTGTTGAACTTGCTATTGATCATACGTATACATTCTGTGATCGTAAATTGGCAATTTTTACCTGGTATGGATGTACATTAGAAGTCAATGGTATGCCTGAAGTAGCATATACATCCGAGGAGACACCAATGGATAGTTATCTAAATATTCATACACAAGTTCAACGTCGAAGAGAAATTGCCAAGATTCAACACCTTCCAGGTCCTCGTCTACTTGTATGTGGCCCTATTGATAGTGGCAAATCAACCTTAACTCAAATTCTAGTGAATTACGCCCTACGTTTGAATGAAAAGCCCACACTTGTGGAATTAGATGCGAGTCAAGGATTTCTTAGTGTACCTGGAACACTCTCAGCTTCTCCATTGGATATGAATTCACTTAGTATTGAAGAAGAGTTTATCCTGACAAATCCATTAGTCTATTTCTATGGTCATACCATGTCGTCCGAGAATGTCGAACTTTTTCGGTATCATCAACAACAGTTGGCAAAGAGTGTCAAGCGACGAATGGAGAATGATATTGAAGTTAATGCATCTGGATGTGTGATTAATACGTGCGGATGGGTTGATGGTCAGGGCTTTGATCTGTTGGTTCACGCGATAAAGGACTTTGACGTGGATATAGTGCTTGTCATTGGCCAGGACAGACTGTACAGCCGCTTGCAGAGTGCACTTACGGGAGAAAAGGTCAATGGAATGGATCGATCGATTGTGAAGCTGTCGCGCTCAGATGGAGTTGTCCCACTTAATAGCAAACTACGCTCTGCTGCGCGTATCAGCTGCATTCGAGAATACTTTTACGGCGCCCACTCGCTGACTGTTGCAATCCCCACGCTATCGCCCTGCATCAACGAGTTCTCGTTCGATGATGTTTCATTCTTTGCAATCAAAGGTGCGTTGATATGCTTGGTGTTGTTGTTGTTGTTGCTAACTTGGTTTCTTCCATCATGTTGTGGTGCGTTCCTGCGAGCAGACATGAAGGTGTCCGACGTGATGCTTCCAGTTGGCCAAGTAGAGACGAAGACCGACCGCTTGCGTGCAGTGCCTGTCGAGAAGACAGTTGACCTGGGGCACTCGCTGGCAGCTGTGGTGCATCTACCACACGGCCATAACGTGTCCTCTGCGTCGTTGACAGATTCATCATGGCTTGTCGGTGCCCCTGCAGTAGGCTTCGTTTTCATGTACGTTTGCAAAGTATGGTATGCTTCCTCCTACCGCCCTTGCTTATTTGTCTCTGCAATGTGTGCTCAGCAAGGAGGTTCGAATGGCAGAACAAAAGGTGGTGCTGCTTGTTCCCTCACCAGGCCCGCTGCCTTCGCGCAATTTGTTAGTAGGCTCAATCAAATGGATGGAGTAGGTCCATTGTATTATCGGTAGCTGTCATTCCTTAATGAAATCAGTTTAAAATTTCCTTGTCTATCTATTAACGCTTTCGCAAAGCCCGTCTTTCTTCTTGTCATCAAAGTATCAAGTATTGAGAAGTAGGCTTAGTAAGACCAGCATTGCACTTGCGGTCTTGTTGCACTCGCGCAGACTCGTTGCTTGGTACACCACTAGCAAGTCAAAGCCTCCAGCCTTGATCAGGTCGATTCTGGCGGTACCATTGTCCACCGCCGACGTCAAGGGCACGGTCAAACTCTCCAGCACTGGCAACAATCTTCACGACTTGTTTATACAGCTCCACATTAATGTCCTTGTCCAGCCTTCCGGTCATATCATCATACATTGTGACTGCAGCGCGCCAGTCTCCCTCACGCTCACATGATGCAATGGCCAGCGCTAGAAGTTCCGTTCGAACAGCAATGGACACCGTGGTCGGCAATTCACCGTAAATGAAAAGCACAGTTTCATGATCTCGCAACTCCACTGCTGATCGCATTGTCAAGACATAAATTGCGTCCGTTGGAAAATGAAGCAGCGGATTCTGCTTTGTTGAAGAAACGTCACGAGTTTCCATGTACAAGTCAAACATTGCTAGCACATCAGAATGGCGATTCTTCTTTGCCAGGTACTTCATAAACAATGTGAACGAGAAAATCGATGCAAAGCCTTCCACCTCCCTCATCTTGTGCATATAAGCCAATGCATCAGTATACTTGTCAGCAGAAAGAAATACTTCCAGCATGTGGTGATGCGTGATCGAGGAAAGTGGCTGTCCGCGGTCAACGAACTCAGCCAGGATCGTCGTCGCCGCTTTGTCATCCTTAAGACAAACGCACGCGCGAATCAAGAAATTTAGAGTCTTGGAGCTTTTGGCGCGACGGCGGCAAAGCTTGTTTTGCTGCCACAAATCTACGACAGCCTTGTAATCCTTCGCAGCGTAATAAACACTCATAAGAGTCTCAAAATGTGCACGATCGGGGGCAACACGATGCTTAGCAACATGATGATTTGCGTCTGCTGCTTTTTCTTGAGTTGCCTCTAACCAATACTGCTCGGCCAGCTTAACGTCGCCATTCACCGCACACCCCTGCAGCAGTATGCTCAGTGTGTATGCATCCCACTTCAAGCCAGCTTCACCCATTTGTGACAAGATAAAGGGAAGCCTCTCTACCTGTCGAGAGCGCACTGCAGCAACTAGCAACGAATTATAAGAGACAATATCGGGCGTATAAACACTACTGTCCCGCATTTTTTCGAAAACCTGCAGCGCCTCATCCATTTGACCAGCATTACCAAATGCCGAGATCATGCAATTGTACGAGTATGTTGAGGGCGCTGCATAAAGCTCGACCAGCTTAAAAATGCGACGAAGCTGTGTCAGGTCAGACGTCCGTGCACAGGAGCTGAGCGCGGCGTTACAGACGTTATCACCCGGATAAACACCATCCTCAAGGAGCAACCCAAAGAGCCGGGAAGCGTAGTCATGCTTGCGATTGCGTGAGCATGAGATAATCGCGCACGTAAACACTTCCTTCTTGTGCGCATCGTCCGTATACACGATCGAGTCCAATAGGTCTCTAATATCCTCCCAGCTTCCCAGCTGAGCATACGCGAGAATAACTGCGCCGTATGTGCGTACATTTGGCTCCACACCGGCTACGATCATCTCGTTCAGAAAATTTAAAGCCATTGGAACGTCATATTTGCCACCACGGGCACAGGCGTGAATGACGCTGGTAAAAGTGACGACGTCAGGCTGCAGGTTAAAGTGATGGACGATCGCCAGTACCCCCTGTGCTACCTGTGCATTGCCCAATCGCGCACTCGCCGCTGCAACTCGGTTTAGACGATCAAGGTCAGGTTCTTTAATCTGACTGCGCAACACTTTCAATGCCGTCTCACTTCGGTTCATTTTAATGAGTGCACACACAATCATCACAAGCTCTTGATCAGACCAATTATTCTCCAAGATAGGCAGTTCATCCATATACTACAGACACACACAGACAGAGAGAGAAATAGAAATCGTAAACAACAGCAATACACATAGTTAATCAATCCTGTCGTCTCCATAGTCTTCAGTCTATAAATCAAGTAAATAGTTTGTCCACTACCTTTCGTAATACTGCCGATACTTTATTCGAGTTCATTTGTTCCATCAATAGCTTTTGAAACGATTCACGATTTATATGAGTCCACCATTTCTTCTTCTTCTTCTTCAGTCTCTTTTTCTGTGGTATTGTCCACTTGAATCCAGTCAACTTAGAGTCATCAGTAGTAGTAGGAGGAGGAGTAGGGACTGTAGGAGTAGGAACTGTATCAATTGTATCATCTCTAGAAGAGAGAGATTGTATACTCATAAGATTAAATTGATTAGTACTATATCTAGTAGTTTTATACTCTTCCATCTGCTGCTCTTCTTCTTCTTCTTGGTGGTAGGAATGTCTTAATTTTGTATCGTCTTTTCTATCTGTCATGGTATTACTGTTGTCGTATCTCTTGGTAATGACTTTAGGATGATTTAATTGTGAAGTAGTAGATAGCAATTGTTGAATGGGCAAATGGAATTGTGATCGAGGTATTATTTGCCGTACAAAGCGACGCATTATTGCTATTGTTGTGGTAGATATAATAATCTATTATAACTTGGAATACAAAATAGAGTGGTCCTCACGACTCTATTCGTGGTTTGTGACAAGACATGTGAAATCAAGAACATATGCATTCATTCATGTGGTCAACATCATTTTGTACATCTAGACTCTCTTGCCTTCTTATCATCCATCCACTCTATCTAAATAATAAACAATAACAATAACAATAATTCTTCTTCTTATTATATTGTGTCCATGATGCAATCACCTCGTGAGCTAGTCGCTCATTGTATGAATTATATCGCATTAGAAGGTCGTACTGGTATATCAATCATACGTCTATTTACTACGACTGAACCATCAAATGACGTCTATCTTCGACGTCATGCATGGCAATTATTACGTTCAAGTGACGGTATTTTATCTTTCTATCGCACCTCATGGAGTAAATTCAATCAACAATTGGCATTCAATCAAGACAATTATTGTATTCAAATGAAACAAGAAACAATAATTGAAAATAGTGGAAATAATACATATGAGACGACATCAACAGCCATAACAAGTGAAGAATTACAGTTATTGACGTATGAAGCAGCAATGGAGATACAAGATGAGAATCGACAGCTTGTGGTGGTCGCGTGTGAAGAATTACGACATCGTGCACTTAATATTCCAGTAAAAGCTATTGCTGCAGACCTTGGAGACAATCATTTTCGTATTCTTGAAGCTGTAGGACACGCACGGGTGCAGGGAATTACAGTGACAACATTGATGCAATTATTGAAGAATATGAACGTTAAACGACTGCACAATTATCTTGACACGTTGATTTCATACGGTTTAGTAGTCAAGAGGATGATGATTGTCGTCCGTCCAGTCATGCGACGGCTAAACATTATTCATTTACCGCGGTTTGTAGCCGAATTTAAACCAAAGATGCTTGATGAGTCAGCAGATTTTGAATCAGATGAACAAAGCAAAAAGATCTTGTGTGTAGCAGCAGAAACATATTTGAGAGGACTACCGACACATTCGTCAGTGCTATCAGATCTTGGACGTGACTTGAGTTTGCACAAGCGGCATCTGGAAATGCTGCGTTCACATATTATACAAGAGTGTAAGGTGGACGACAATTTCCCGTTAGAGTTGTTCCAAGCTGTCTTGCAGCCGTCAAGACGTGCTACTCTTGAACCTAAAATTTTAAATTGCGTGCGGTACAAGCCGTTAAAGTTCCGACGACACTCGGCTTCGTGTCGTGGTATTGTATTGGAGCTTGGGTTGCTTCGCCAGATCTATGGGATTATTGAAGACAGTGCCGAGAATGGTGCAACAATCATCGACCTGCGTAACCAAATTGTACTTCCTGGGAGCAAATTACCGTATAAGTTAGTAAGCGTCCTGGCGAGGATGTATAATCTAAAAGCCGAGTCGATTATACTGGGAAAAAACAAGGCTTTTCGACTGTATATAGACTCGGTGGCACCTAGTATGGGTAACAAGCTTTCTTTTTCAGCAGACGTAGTAGACAGCGCCTTATCACTTTCGACTTCATTGATCCGGTCAAAAGATTGTACCAGGGCAGACGAGGAACCAGTTGCTCGAGTGAAGGTAGAAAAAGCATCTACTGTTCAAACTAATAAGGCACTGAAAGTGGCACTTGGAAGAGCGGAAATTGATGGCACCAGTGCTCGACGTCGCGAGCACATCTTGGATCGGCTTGCGAACGAAAAGATTATTAGTTTATCGTCGCTGTGTGCCAGCGTATTCAGTATGGAGAAGCAGCGCGCAGAATCGAATGCAAATTTGTCCAACTCAAGTGGCGAGCTCGGTGTTGTTAACAATGGGAGCAGTTCAATATCGCCTGCTGTCGTAGGAAAAGTAGACATTCGGTCAATATACCGCATTGCGTCAGAACTGGAACTCATGAATAAATTACGACTGTTGCAGTTTCCATTGCCGGCTCGTAACGTGTCAGCCAAATTTCGTGCGCTACGTTGTGTTGTTGCTACTGGGTATGAGCGTGATGAAATGTTCATTCAAGGCTTTGTGAAGAACTACTGTCGAGATGAGCGTTTGCGGCGCATTCATCGGAATACTAATAAAGGTCAATTTATTCGCTTTCACACGACCGGAAGCGACAATATTGACGAGGTGGAGCCTCGACCAGCTCGAAAGAGGCGGCGAGTCAATGCTACTATAGCTAACGCAGACGCAGATGAGCCTAAGGAAGTGATGCTTGCCTCAGGCGGTGTAGCAGGAAATAAGGATGTTTGCTGTCAAATAAATCGTCATGCTTCTGACATCGAAGAAAATGGAGTCGCCAGCTCTGCTTCGCCTGAAATTAGCTACAGGATTCGGCGTTTTGTGAGCCAGCAAACATCTGGAGTTCACACCCAGCAGTATAGGAAGCTCGGATTTGCATACGGTGTCATGTATCGATGTAAAGCTCTGCATCGATTTTTGTGGAAAGCTTTGCATGAGAACGGATCAAGCCTTCAGCTTCCGGGTGAGGATAACAATGCCACCATTCAAGAGACGACTTTTGAAAAAGATGGCAGCGATGTTGCTGATAACCAGCATCAACCTCTTTTACCAGGGATTGTGTTTTCTCGCGAAACAGTTTTGCACTCAATGCCTGTACATTTGTACATTCAAATATTTGCGGGTGGGGAAATTCTATCAGGCGCCGAGTTTTCTATTGTTGAGGAGGCCGTCAAGCATCAGCGCACATTTCAATCAATTCCAGAAACTTTACGCAAAAAGATATGGAGTCATGAATCTCAGCGCACAGCAAAAGTATTGGGTACTTTGGCCGATCTAGGCTTGGTACTACCACACAAGATTGGAATGAAACACTTGGTAAAGATTCTTCGAGCCGGATACACTGATGGGCGCGACGGTGTGCTTTCCCGTGCGCTGAGCGAAAATGCACTTGGCGGGCTTTTTTGCTTTAACAAGCAGGCTCGAATTGTTCTCAATGATAGTGGCAGAGACGATTGCTTTTTTCCTCCAGGCGATACCGAGTGCCGTAGTGTGAACGAACTCACTTCTATTCGCGTTGTTGGCTTTACGGAAAAGACATATAGCTTTGCGAATTCATTACCATTGCGATTTTCGTTCAAGACGGAATGCGATGTTGATCACTACTGGGAGGCTCTTGAGTGTTTATGTCTTGAGCAGATGACAATGGAAGTGAATTACCCAAGAAAAAACGAACCAGCCGTGTGTGGGGTACCTAAGCCAGTTAAGACCCGTGCTCGACGAATGCTGCGTATTCTCGCTTGGATACCAAAATCACGAAAGTCTGTACCGAAGCACAAGCGTGAGGATAGTAGTGACACATCTCATTTTACAAGTAGTGGTATTGTGTCTACTAACGTTAGAGCTCGCAAAAAACGACGACTCGCTCGAAATGGGGACGACGCGAATAATGATCATGATGAAGTCAAAAGAAGGAACAGGAAGAATGAGGGGGGATAACTTAGGCAATGATGGTCAATCAAAGTTGGGAGCCCTCACGTGGACAAAAATGCATGAACAGCAATTGGTTGATTACTTTATTGAAAGCAGTAAGAGTCGATGGAGAATAACGGTTCCTCTAGGTTTGCAGCGCGATGAAGAGCAAGTCGCTTTTCGTAACCCCACAATTTCACGAACAGGTTTTGGTCTTGTAGCTATCACTCGAAAGCTAGGCAAGCGGACGATTGACGTGAAGAAGCGACTACGAGAGAAACTCATGGAGCCTGTCGTGAAACTGTTACTCGAAAACGCGAAGCGAGAGGCACAATTTGCTTACAACCCCGGCGGATTATTCGACGAAGAAATTGCTATTCAAGGGTCAACTAGGCTCACAGCACTCTTTCGACGTGCCGTGATGATGATTGTGTCGCCACGAGAAGATTATCACCCGCTCGTTGCTGAAGAATTGATCTCATTCTGGACCCCACAGGAAATTCGACTTGTTTGGCGATATCTCTGGCTGAAGAACTGGATCGTTCGCGCGTCTGAGAAAGAGCGCGGTCGTGGTTACTCTACCAGTCAACGACTGCAAGACTCGCTAAAAGTAGCTACATTATCGTACCCTTTATCGCTATTTCGGCAGGCTGCAGAACGGGAGAGCATGGTTTGCTCTCTTGAGGAAATTACTGTCGACTCAAACGAAACAAGGCACCGTGGAGAATTGCATAGCAGTGACCAACTCTTTGAGGATGATTTTCCGACTAATGCTACACCAGGCCAGTGTGCTCTCGAGTTGGGATGTCAAGTGCTTGGTACGTGCTCGCTTACAGCAGTGCTTTCTTCAATTTCCGATACCGATACAGAGAATGATGCACTAGTAGCACCAAAGCTAAATGGCAAGCGACAACCAAGTTCTACTAAAAGAGAGAGTTTTTTTACTTGCAAGAGTCTAAAAGGTAGGTCTGGTTTTGCTGCACACTTGGCCAACACGGTGAATGTTGCGAAAGCATCGGATTTTCTGGATGCTTGGAGAGTCGAGACTAAGATGCACGCAGTGACTATCAATGACACAGACCTGTTAAGTGCCTGCGAGGCGTTTTCTTGTGAGGAATTTGATGATAATGATGAATCAGAAGTCGTTGCGTTTCGTCAATGCCGAAATGACAAGGAATCTGAGAACGTGCTGAGGAATGCGGTGTTGAATTATGTTTGTAAAAGCGGTGAGGAGGGGCTAACATTGTCAGCTTTGGTGGAAAAAGTGCGCTTAAGCATTGATGAGGAGCTTCAAGCTGCTTTGCAAATGCGCGTTGAACGCTGCTTGAACTCTCTTGTTGATCAAGGTGTGCTCATTTGTGTAAACGCGTACTACGATCAGCGCTACGTTGTTAAGGAGCATGGAGACATGTGGCTGTTGCGGCCCTTTTCACTCATTCCAAGCGCCAGCGCATCGTTAACACCCCAGGTCGTCTTCGAAGGTGAGAAGGACACGATATCTTTTCCGTGGCTGAAGATGGACGGTGGCACAAACTATAAGTTTCTATTTGCCATCCAGCGCAAGTTGCTAGCGTTGATTATTCAGGCTCCGGGTATTACTGAGAAGCACGCATACGCTAAGATGAATCGACTACTGTCGATGCAGGATACCCGCGAGGCAATGTCCTTACTCGTAGAGGAAGGGCTGGTATATGTTCGTGCAGTCACCTACCCTGCAGTTGAAGCCACAAGTCTCTTCCGACCGTTAATGACACAACCTTCGGCTGCTAAGGTTATCAAGCTGGTAGGGAGTGTGCTGGCCTATGATCGTTCTGTTTTCAAAGTGCACTACTTTCCCCATGTTGAGTGCATCCAGCGATTTGGAAGCATTGTGCAGGACTATCAAAACGTCGATGACATGGTGTAACAATTGTTCAGAGTCTACGCGGTTTATTTAAGTGCTGGCAAGTCAGTCTTCTTTTTTATTCAAACAGCCACGTGTGCTTTGACGTGCTGTACTTGATTGAAACCAAGGATCGAAACGTTACCGCTCACACAAGATGTAATTAATCCACTTACAGCTTAGACACAGAGCGTACTATCGTGGATGATATGATGCCATGTGGATCATCCGTGGGCAAAAACACCTCGCCGTGCGGGTGAATGTTCTTGCAGCCGAAGCGAGAGAGGTCAATGGGGTTGTTGTGGATATTGGGCATTGTGATCTTGATGTCCTTTACATACGGGCATCTCTCCAGCACGGCTTCGCCCATCTTGTACAGCGAATACTGAACAGCAGGACTAGGCACACCCACATCTGACGGGCCTGCAAATGTCTTCAGCATTACTTTCTTGATCTCCGCAGTTCTGGCGCTAAAATCTTCACAGACAGCGTCGGACATGTAGGTCCACACGGCCGTAACGCATGTGCTTACAAGGCGGTCGGGTGCGTCCAGCAGTGTCGTATACTCATCGCGGAAGAAACCAACGAATGAGCTCTGCGTGGTCTTGAGCACCTTGAGGCCGTCAACACCACCTTGGACTATTACCTCTGGAGCACCAAGCGTTGTTGACTTGCGAGCCTCGACACTATAGAAAAGGAAGAGAAAGTGATGGTTACCGTCAAGCAGCAGCAGGTTTTACTATGAGAAAAGATCAGACCATATTCACGTACTAGGCGGTGGAAAAGCCAACATTGGCACTCACGAAAGCATGGTGATGTGGTCGCATTTTACCTTTGACATCTGGTACCACAAGACGTTCCCAGGGCGTTTCAAATAGTTTCACCTTTGCCACGCTAATCTATTGACAATATGCCCCATAACATCACCACCATAGAAAACACTTGTCAGTCTTATCATCATCATCATCATCATCATCATCATCGTCTTTCAACCATTTCTTCTCTTTTCTTTCAAACAAGAGAATGTCACCACAAAGTATTAACGTACAAGATCCGCATGTTTCGTAACAAAATGGTTTGCTAGAATAATTCCAAAGTTCTCAAGTGAAGTAAATTCATGTTTCTTAGCCAATACCCACACTGTATTCTTGATTGAATCCGTCGGTAAGACATGACCATTATCACCATTGTAATAAGCACTCGCAGCAGGTTCACCTTCTAGTAACACTTGTGCTTCCAATTGCATGATAAAATGTTTCTCTGGTGTCCGTGTGACTTTCAGTAAACGGACACCACCTTTACCATGTTCATGATGTAATAATTTTACAACCATCACGGTGGAGGGAGTTTTATTGAGCTACCTTGTCACTTGCGATCTTTAATGCTAATCGCGATATGAATGAATGAATGAATGAATGAGAGAGAGATTTAAGGTGAATGACGCGTTGGTTCAGACATCTTTCGTTTCAATATCGAACTTGAAGTATACAAAAATGGCTTTTTTATATCTTCGATGCTTCCTATACGATGGTGGGATAAATACCTCTTACTAAGAATACTAATTCAACTCAGATACCAATACTATGATCTATCTATATTATTATGAGACTATCAGTAGCCCTATATGACTAAGTAGATAGTATCAATTGTCCGTCTTATCGTCTATAGAAATCGTCAAGTACTCTTGCAAATGTATGAACTTTGCTCTGTAATGCAGACTGAGTACATGCTGTTACGAAATACTTCATACGCTGCTGCATTTTATGAAAGTACATATCACACGCTTTGCATTGTTGAATTCTGTCAACATCACACAACGAGAATCACGTGAACGTCAGTGTACCACGACCACGTCCTATCAACTCTCATCCTCACATCCCCACCTTTTTTTCTTCTTTAGCAGCAAGATTCATTGTTTGGAAACGATCCTGCTGTACATCTCGACTTTCCTTCACAGCAGGAGAAAAGGCATTGAATAATTCGTGTCCACACTCGACGCCAACACTCCAATATCTGCAATACATCACACAACACCATACTAGGTCAAGAAAATATGGTCAGCGCCAAGTAAATAGATCACACGCGTGTCCGCACAGTTCAAATTTACTCTCCAATATTTCTACAATGAGCGGAAGAAGCAGCACACACGCTTCCAAATCAACGTCTAGAGACTGCAAGTTTGTGATGCGCAGCACATCCACCACAACAGCCTCACGTTTTCCTTTCGGTAATCCACTGATGTACCGAAAACCATCGTTCAGACGACCTTTTTCCCAATGAACCAGTAGCTGCTGGACATACTTCTGTCGATCTGTAAAAGCCTTCACACATGTATCCATACCACAATGTAGCTCCATCACAAAGTCAGACGTCACACGATCGTCACCAGGCTGTTGTGATGATGGGAGCAATGAATGTACTCCAGTTTCATACGTCTCTGAATGCTCTTTTTGCTGTTGGAATGCTAAGTCGTCTGGTGTCCCTGTCTGCGCACTGACTCGACGACTAGGGTGTTTTGTGCGGCGTACTTGACATGATATCGACTTTGCTTCAGTCAAAGGGACCAAGATTCCAGAAGCAGTCGGGTTGCTGCTGCCTTGGTGGCTGTAATCGTGACTTTTCTCATCCCCTGTTACAGCAGTTGCTGCTCGGGTATCCCCGTCGAAAACGTTATGCACCAGTACACACGAAGCAGGTAACGGTGCACTCAACATGTTCTCGGATCTAGCTACAGCAGTGGGCCGAATGACGGATTGGTTCGTACGAGCGGATGAAGCTACTGTGTTTGCAGATGACGGTCTGTCGGGGCTGATGCTGACCTTGACAGCTCTTTGATCGTTATTACCGTTGACTGTACGATCAAATGGCTGCATTTGCATCACGTCTAGTATCCATATCGACACAAAAGCATCTTGAATGCACCCACTCATTAACTTCATATCCTGCGTCATTGTTGCGTCAGCGTGAACCAGTCCTTTCTGGCGGGGCATCGGCATACTATCGTGGCACTACGTCACCCACAATATAAGGATCCTGTATATCAATACAAAAGCAACAAGAACTACCGACCTCAATCGCAGTTTCATACGACCACACTCGTATCGCGTCCTGTGAACAGCAAAACAGGTACTTACCACTGTACGGTTCTGCAACTGTATGGCACATTGATGTAGTCTAGGCGAATGTTGTTAAAACCACACACAACTATCAGCAAATGTGCACCAATTTGTTTGCAGTATTGTGACATGTGTCATCAAGTTTACAACGTACCGTGGCATTGTCCACCGGAGTAACGCCTATCACAGTGAGTGTTTGGACGTCCCAAAATCGAATAGTGCGGTCAGCAGCAGAAGAAACGAGAATAAACTCCTCCGGATTGAATTCAAGGCTGGTAATCGCACCACCGTGGTCGCGGAATTCACGTAGAAGACGACCAGCCATAAGGTCCCAAATCCTGATAACACCATCCTGATCACCTGAAGTGAGCCACCGTCCATCTGGTGTAAATCTCACTGCTGTAACTTCGGATGAATGTCCGTTAAATGTCTGCATACAGTTCTTGGTACGTAAATCCCAGACCTTGACAATTGTATCGACTGAACCAGAAGCTACATAATCACCATACAGATGGTAATCCAGAGAACTTGTTGTTGCTAAGTGTCCTTCCAGTGCCGGACTCATTTGACCAGTTTCCAAATCAAATACTTTGATTGCTCCTGACTGATAACCTGATACTATTTTGTGCTCTCTCGGATCAAAAATAAGGCTTTTGACAGCATTTTGAGGTCCTGAGAAGGTCTGAAGTCACACAAAAAGACAGACAGATGAGAATAAGAGGACACTAAAAGCATTTGATGTGATAAAAAAGGTTGCAGCAATGAATTGAGAAGCCATCACGTACGTTAATCTTGTTTATCTTCGTATCATCCAAGTGCCAAAGGTTTATGACGTTATCATCACCACCCGTTGCTATGAATTGAGCCTGTAATTTGACGAAGAATTAGCATCGAGTACGTACTTTTATGATAAAAGCACGTAATAACAAGTATCTTTTAGTAAACCTACGACTGACTTGTTGCTCAAGCATAAACAATTAACATTGCATGAATGTGCTTGGAAAGAGGCTATTTCAGACAGATATAAGATTATAGTTGTATCAAAGACGAGAGCTTAGGATCGTATCATTATGACATTAGAAACGTACCATATTGGGTGAGTATCATTTGTTGCGATGGGGTTTTTTCGGACTTGTCAATTGTAGGAACACTGAAAAACCCAAGGGCCGAAGCAAATTTAGGACGTGTTTTTTCAAAGTGGGTTTTTAGGACGTGTTTTTTAAAGTGGGTTTTTAGGACGTGTTCTGGTCAAAGAACTCAAATTCAATCATATTATATAAAAACCCATGCAAGTCCTAATTGCGATCCTAAGCTTTGTTGATCTTGTCGCACTTACATTCCTAAATGGCTATTGGGTATGTATCATATCTCTTTCCCTTCTCTCCTCTTGCTATCTTGCAACTAATCCATATACTTTCATTATTCGAATGAGCAGCTAATTACCCTGGATGAATTAGAACTGGACCATTTAAATCCAGCTGATGTAGCCAAACGTCTGAACAATCTTGTTTGTACGTGTACATACAGATCGAAAAAGGTAGTGTTATATGCTCATAAGATGTGGTAATATCATTGTATCCTTTTGTGTCCTTTCCTATAGATCCAGAGATGATTATGCATGGTATTCTCCTGTTCCTGTGTTTGCTTGCGTGGGCACCATGGATATTTCTGCTTAATCTTCCCATTGCTCTGTGGCACATCCGACGGTATGGCTGGATGTGAGACGGAATGTGATATATATATATATATATTGACGTTACTTGTTGTTGTTGTGTGGGGCTGCTGCTGCTGCAAATATCTTGCAGTGTTGTACGCAATGAGCACTTGATGGATCCAACTGAGATCCTACGGTACAAGAAACTACAGCAGGCTCGCTTGGAATCGATTGGAAGGACAGTGTTCTACGGACTACAGATCGTCTACGGCATGTTTTGGTACGTGGCTGTTTGCAACGTGCTTTTTCTTCAGTCAAAACGATCGAAAAGACGTAGCAATAGCATTGAGGTTGTATGTTACTAACACTTTGGTGATTGTTTGATGATGTAACAAAGGATGGTATCGGCTATTGTGACTTCGAGTAAGAATCGAAAGGATACGAAACGTGGATAGATAGACACTTACCACCCAGTAGCTGCACGTTAATTTGTGTCAGCAAAGATTAGTAAAACGTTTATCAAGATATATCCTCATTGGTTCACCTACGTACGTCCATTGCCTCTTTCTTTTTCTTGCTTTATACCATAAGACGCAAGAATGCTGCATGTCATGCATCATTCATTACAGACTACGGTATGGCTACAAAAACGTGTAGCCATCTATGATGGTCTTGTGTTTTTTTCCTATATCAGTACCCAATCACTTGAACGTTACATGTTCACCCTTATTTGCATACAAAACAACCCCTTAATTTGGGCAATTCCACACCCGGATTTAGAACTCTGAATTAATTCCATTTAACGAAATAATAAAAAATGCGACGTCGATATGAACGTCAGCGTGTTGCTAAGGCCAAGATAAAAGCTTCCTCTACTGCAATAACAGGCTCGTACCATGGTCTTCAATCGTCTATTATCTCTACTACGACATCTACTACTACTTCGAAGAAACGACAGACAATGGTTCATGCAGCCGCACAGATTAAATTACACGTTCATGGTCATGAATTTCAAAATGGAGAAGAAATTGTATTAAATCCCGATAGTTTTCCACAACTTAAGGAATTAATATGGAAAGATTACGTTGTTGAAGTGTTTCATCCGGAATATATCGAGGAGATACAGAGACGACGACGACGACAGACGTTTGCACTACCAAAACCAATGGATCGACTTTCGACGGTCATGACTGAATATTCACCACAACATCATTTGCTCTTGGAAATACCAGAAAATAGTGCAGCACCATTGAAAGGAAAAATGCAAGTAAGTGTACTCAAGGATACGGCCGCTTTCTTTCAATTAGGACCGTTTAAGGATGTGACGGTGCGTTTTCTACCAAAGACACAAGTTGAAGTCGATTTTGTGGAATTATCACTCAAAGATCAGTTCATGTCAAGACGTGATCTCATGTACTTGCAACAATCAATGGTAGGCACGACACTTTATGTGGGAAAAATGATTCGAGTGCAAGGAACACGGTGGCAAGTACTAGATGTACGTACTGGTGGAAACAAAGTACGGAGTGGTGTGATTTCAGCAAAAACCAAGTTTACATTTCGATCACGTACGTCACGAATCATGTGGTTGGTGCAAATTAGTCCGGAAATGTGGGATATGGCAAACTCGGGCATGTTGTACTTGGAAATTCTCCTGACGGTAGTACGGAACGTACTAAGCAAGTGGATGAGACAAAAAGTCTCACATAGCCTTACGATTCTCTTTTATTCTCGCTGTTTTTACCCAGAAATGGACCAGGATCAAGACGTATCACCTTCGTATCGAAGATTTGTGTCCAAGACGAACCAATCACATGCAGCGGACGATGAGAAACAGTCGTCGTTTCCGTACGAAAGAAGCGATTGCTTTTCGGTTGGTGTCGATGAAAATGGCAGGCATTATCAGGACTTTTACAAACTGGTGGTGTTTGATAGCATAGTCACAGATGTCCAGCCATTGCTTGTGCAACTAAAGAAAGCATTAAACACATTCCCACGTGAATGTGGTTGGCGATCACCATCTGACTTCTACGTCTCGTCATTCTCTCGTGCAGAGTCTTTTGAGGAAAAGCCGCATCCACGACCAGGAGTTCCTTCAAATGCGCGTGACGGCAATCTCCTCGAAGCTGTAAATCTTGTGCTTAATATTTTTGAGAAGCACCATATTGACCGTGACTTATCGCGCAGCGGTCAAAGTGTTGTGCTAATTACGCCAGGAAACGGCATTTTTTCGGTCAACAAGCGGCTGTCTGAGATTACAGAGCAGCGCATGATGGATCATGGCATCGGCATTGATCTTATCTCGCTTGCGTCTCGCCCATTGCACAAATGCCCACTATTCCTCTTCAAACAGTCCGATCTATCTGAAATGAAACTTCCTGGTCGGAAAGATTGCAATCCTGCTACCGAGGTATGCGTATGCAACAACAATCTACACGGTTCGAAGAGTGGATATCAGCGGTGCTCACGTACAGGTTTGAACGAAGCTGCAACAGATTCACAGTCGGCAGTGACAGACACGGGAGTGCGAACAGGCCAGTTGTGCAAGTATTGTTTGCAACGGATGGAAAATCGCAAGAAATATATAGTTCCTCTCTGGATTCCGCTTTGGTTTGTGCAAGAAAACATGCTGATCCCGCACGATTGTCCATTGGATGAAGACATCACCCAGTTTTGTGATGTGTGCGCTCCGCAGAGCTCAAAACCCAAAACATTCGAGCCGCTTCCGATGTGTCGAATGTTTAAAGACAATGATTTTACCCATTTCAGCCACTTATCGCTCCCAAAGCCACTGGAGCGTTTGTTGAACAACTTTCGAATAACCGAGCCTGCACTGAGTGATGAAGACTGCGACAATATTACCTCTGCCCTCGCACCGTCAGCTAGCGTATCGCATTACGACAACGTCATGTTTGCTGGTCTCAATAGTGATCTTGTTCGTGCTCGAGCGTCTTCCATGACATGCTCTGACGACTCTCTTTCTTATGATGGCGAGGTACTTACCAAAGTCCGGGCTTATTCTTTATCCGAACAAAACAAGCTGCTGCAAGAATTTGAAAGATATGATGATGAAGTCTTTGGATTTGCAACACCGCTGAAATGGGCACAAAAGTCATCGGACAGCGACATTAGTGTTCGCGTTGCCACAACACCTCCTCTTCGTCCAGGTATGTTATATTTTACCTCGATGACGAAGAAACGGACAGGGACGCTTGGATTTCACTCAGGATCGGTTGGCAATGTAAACGAAAACGGAAGCAGCATCGGTGTTGGAGCTCACTGGCGCCAATTTGAACAAAGAGAGTCTTTTCCACGGAATGTTGACATGGTCGAGTACCAAGGAAGTCTGGAGGCTAAAGTCGGGTCATTGGATGACGACAAGGATAAGTCTCGCATTAATTCGAGCTCGTTTCCAAGCACGTTTCAGTTGTGTGACGGCAGTGGTCCGAGCCATACTCCTTTCAATTCGAGCCCTAATCTACGCCCTGCAGAAGGTGTTGTTAACGAAGACATTTTTCACTCTCAAGCGTACATGTTGAAGCAGCTCACAAGCAATCAACGTCGATGGAGTCAAGTTCGGCCATATGAAGATCAGCAGTATAAAATTGCGCAGAATGTTTTGAAATGGAGAAGCCTGTGTTTTCCTGCACTTTTGCCACTAGCAAGTGACTTCATGCCGGCACCAAAAGAGTTGCAAGCGCACTACACGGAGTCTTTTTACAGTGTAATGCTTCCAGAACGTGACGAGCAAAACGGTGTCATGTTCCGTGATTATCGTGAACTGGTGCTGGAAATGGTGGCACAACGACTTTCCCAGGATTTCCAACTTGTCTCGGTAGAAGTGTCGAGTGAAGTTGGTAAAAAAGCTGGCACTGTCTTTCGGCTTAGCATGGGCCATCGAATCCACGAAATTGTGTACAATGAAGAGACCCAGACAATTGATGTAAAGCGCTACCTCCAGAAGGTAACAACACGCTCTGATGTGGACATCATGGAGTATCGCTACTCGCTTTGGTCGCCTGTTGTGAATCAATTTGTTGCAGTTGCGCAAGAATTTCGCAAGTATCCGCAGATTGAATACCAATGGAATCACCTGGATCAACTAATTTGCGGCTACATCGATGATATGAGCGAAGGAATTCGCTACAAGCGCAACCTTTATTGTCTATTTCCGCCTCGACTGACAGGCACTGATGTCGATGACCGAGGTAAGAAGGGTGACGTGTCCGCGATGTTTGCGTCTTTTTTTTCGGAAAGACTGACTGATGTATAATGTTTTGCCACCAGAAAACTTGCGAGATTACGCCGAGAGCTGCCGCAAGTTTCTCGAATTTTTGCGGGTCAAGGCAGACACTAGTACAGGGTTCCCGAACGTAAAGTTCTCAACCGATTGGAGCCAAGATATCACGACAAGTGGCACGGAAGCTTTTAAACGTGTGGGTCAAAGGAGTGTCAAGATGCTGTTAAATACCAACGATGCGGTAACAAGCCAGAACTGGGTGATTACAAAGGTCGATACGGAGGTGCTTCCGACGCAATGTTACCACGTGGAAATCCAGTGGCTTGTGTGCCGCAGCTCCCTTGTCGATGACCTCATTACTGGAATGAGTCGTCGCGCTAAGCAACTCGGCCTTGAACTACAAAGGGTGACTGAAAACGGCATTTCAAGCAACCTCGCCCTCCACCCGCTGAACTGTCCCATTTTTCTGAAGATTGATGACTCGTTCGAGCGGCGAGAGGTGGAGAAGGTACTGGTTGAGCGCTTTGACTTTTGCTGCGAGGCGCTGCACCCAATTCCATTCACACACGTGAACCACAACGCGGAGTACGCGACCACGGCACAGCAGCCTCGGCCACCGCATGCACGGCGCATGATCTCGTATTATCGGCAGTATGTACACCGGTCATTGTCGTGCTTTGCGCGGATGACGCATACCGGGTTGGTTTGGATCTCGAACCAGAAGGTGCACGACGACGAGATCCAGCCGATCTTTGACGAATTACGACGATACATTGAGTCCCTCCAGGTGGTGCGCTCGGCCCTGATGAGCGTGCTAGATGACGTGTTTGAGCCTGCAGAAGCAGGAGCACCGCCGCTACCGATCATGGTTGAAAAGGATGCGCTGCCAAAGGGAGCAGCACAAAAGTCCGGCGTGGACGAAGACAGTGACAATAAAGTATCGGAGAGTGTGAGTGCAAGTGCGAGCACCACCAGCTGCAGCGAAGAGGAGAAAGAGAACAATCCCGTGGCGATCAACACGGTAGTGCGTAATGCTCTTGCAGACATGAAGCAGACATTCCCGACAACTACAGCTGATGCTTTTCAGCGCGATACCTTGCACAGAGTCGCAAATAAATTTCTCTGACGTGATACCAATTAATGCGTGAATGAACCTGATAGAAGGCTATGGACAAATTGGTGCTCACTATCGGCGAAAGAAGTCGGTCTAGAATAAATCTCTGCCTTCCTTGAGTCCATCAGGACATTGGATCGATGTGAAATGGTGCATCATTGTATCATTTGCATACAAACAGGTGGTTATATCTGTCAAGTATCTCAATCACTTCATCTGACCAAGACAATAAAGCGGAATGACTGCAGTATTAGCAGTTTAGCACTCCAATTCGTCAATAGCCAGCAAAGTTCGTGTATAAATGGAGACAGAATGATTGTCCTAAGCATTTATCATTGTGTGCTTTTTGACTATTATTTGTATTAGTGAAGTGACGTTAGTACCAAGAGTATTTCAGTAATATTGTTAATCTTGAAGTAATTACTTAACGTTGGGTGTAAAAAGGTGCGTACAGAGCTGAATTTAAATGAGCCAAAGCCTATTTGCGTGTATTTATTGTTGAATGTGACGAAGAATTAGTTAAAACTGGCTTCCTATTTATCGTCTTATTTTGACCGTCTTTTATAGCTAATGATGACCAAAGTGATTTAAGGAAAGCATGTCGCATAATTTATTTGAAAAGACAAATTAAAAAGCAAAGCTAGTTTCTTTTCTTATTTCTATTTACTTCAATCTGCTTTTTCTAAAATGCAATGTTGCATTACTACGAATTAATCATTTCTGTTAATTGAAAAAAACACTATTTTTGGTATACACTGCCACATGTATACTATGTTTCAAAACTCACCAAAACTCGAGCCATTGTCAATTCATTAGTAAGCAGTATCAAGTTTAGTCCGTCTCATACGCGTTCATTGCCACACTGACTGACTCCTCATGTATTCGTCCACTACATTGTATATCCTTTGTCTTAGACTTGCCCAATAAGCTTTAGAGCCCAGCCAATTGAAACGACGAGACCTGCAATCACAAGCGACAAGACCTGGGTCTGTCGAGACAAACTGCCACGGTATCCGTTCATCCCTCTCATCTCCTTGAAACAGCATGTCTTTGGTCTCTTCTTGTTTCTCGTAGCTGTCTCAATACATGTCTTTGACAAGGTATCAAAAGACCGATTACGAGAGAATACGTGACTATTTACTCGACGCAACGGCAGAGAACGCCGTTCAGACACGTCGTAGCCTTGAAAAGTCGCAAGACTCGTGTTTGACCGCAAAGATTCGGGCGCGGACTGGGGGGTGATCTCTGAACTGTTCTGCACCTTTGTATCGATGCAGTCATCGCACGTGCGGACATTCTTGCTTTGATACCGAATGCGTTTGGTGGAGCAGGCACCGCACACGATTTCCCCGCACAGACGACAATGGTGCTTGCCCCAGAGGTGGAAGCTGCGGCGACAATTGGAACAGTTGGAACGCAATGATGTAGGTACCCAGTGTGATCGATGACATAATGCTGCTGCCTCCATACCAATGGCTTCCGTTGACATGCGACGAAACAAATTGCCAGATGTGATGCGCACGTGACGTGTCGAGGGCAAAGAGGCTTCAGCAGCAAATTCCATACAAGCAGTGACACACTTCTGGTTGTAATATACAAGTAGACAAGTATACAATAGACAAATCAACAATGGACAATGAGTGACAAATTGAAAACGCAAGTTAGTATGATGATGTTGCTTACGGTAACAGTCGACGACGTCAGATGGAACTGTTAGACTGACTGATGACTGATTGTCCATTGAAACAATTTAAAGCTGGAGAGCCCTACAGCTGGTTTAGTAGGAGAGGTAAAAATGGGAAAGAAAAGAGGTATAAGTGCTCAAATACAAAAAGGAACGGTCATACGCAAGCACTGATACATCATTATAGAGCTCTTTTTTGTACAAATCTTTTGATGGAAAATGGGTCTCAAGCTGACGATCTGAGCAAATCGTTGTAATATTGGGTACGTACTGAAAACCAAGAGACAAGTTTAAGTACAAATGAGTGACGATGCGTAAACAAACAAACGTCTTGTCTAGCAAAGCAAAAGATCTGAGCCACACTTCAAGCAACATTCGAATGTGTAAAACCGATAAAGCATCTCGAGGCTATCGTTACTTTTGGGTAAATAGTAAACGTTAACTCTGTAGAATTACAAATTCCAATCACAATACAACCAAGTCACATCGTAAGTAAGACTATGCAGCTTGAAATGTCGCTGTGCGAGTCTCTAGGACTTATTTCTTATGAGTAAATATGTCAACGATCATGGAGTTTGCAGTCATATAGCCCTAATCTTTACAGACTGATGACTAAGCGATAGTAGCGTTTGTAGCGTTACATTAGTCACATCAGCCAACAGTCTGACGGTTGCTTGAATCCGCAGTAATATCGCTAGCATGAAGCAAGGGAACACAATGAGTGGCTATCAAGAGAGTCAGGATCATGTGCTCATGTCCTTAGGGGATAATAATGTCGGTAACTCTTTGAGGATCACAATTGTGCTGGTGATTATTGGAAATTGGTCGTGATCAAGTCTCAATATCCACAAGATCAGTAAACTAGCTGCTGTTTACATCATGACCACTGGTGCATGTGACAGAGAATTAACTCGTGGATCAATAGCGAGATCTGCAGCTCACTCGAGGCTGTATAAACTGCGACTTTCAATCGTGTTATCGTTGCGTTATACTTGCATTTTTTTTTTTTGACACATGTTTACGACCTCCATGCAAGTTAGAATGCCAATGTATCGTAAACACGCTCCATACATGACACATACCGATAGTAGTTGCGTATCTCTAGACTCGAGCTCGATCATTCGAAGACGAGAGCTAATTGCAAGCAATCACGACTTCCATAAGACCTTTACAGCATTGTTTGTTATGAGCTCGTCGCATGCTTTATTTAACAAATCTCACATGCTAATCACCTCTTACTCTGGAAACGATATTCTAGTATGTTGTTCGCTTAGTGATAAAACTCGAATGTCGTGTCCGCCTGCTTGATCGCATTCTTGTAGCCCTTGTCAAAATCCTTGGGCAGAACGACGTAGCGGTTCTTGCGCACTGCTTGCAGACCTGCTTCCTGGCAAATTGATGCAATGTCGGCCGAGCTGATCTTCTCGGCGCGGTTCACATAATCCTCGAGATCCACTTCGTCTCCAAGATTCATCTTTGCTGTACACGCCTGGTAGATCAGGCGCTTCTGTCGTCGATCCGGCAGTGGAAACTCAATCTTGCGATCCAATCGACCAGGACGTAACAGTGCTGGATCCAGCGTATCGGCACGATTGGTGGCCATGATGACCTTGACATTCGTAGCTTGGTCAAATCCGTCCATCTGGTTCAGCAGCTCCAGCAAAATTCGCTGAACTTCTCGGTCTGCTCCTGTCTGAGCGTCAAAGCGCTTCGTTGCAATGGCATCCACTTCGTCAATAAAGACAATAGCTGGTGAGTTTTCCTTGGCCAGGCGAAAGACGTCGCGCACCATGCGTGGGCCTTCTCCCAGGTATTTCTGCACAAACTCTGAGCCAACGACGCTGATAAAGGCGGCAGTCGTAGCATTAGCCACAGCTTTGGCAAGCATTGTTTTTCCTGTTCCTGGTGGTCCATACATGAGTACACCACGTGGTGGATCGACGCCAATCTGTTTGTACAGATCAAAGTGGGTAAGTGGCAATTCCACGGCTTCCCGTACTTCCTGTTTCTGAATGTCCATACCACCAATATCCGAGTATGAGACATCAGGACGTTCTGACATTTGCATCATTTGAATACTTGAGTCTGACTCAGGAGGCAGTACATCCACAACAGCATGAGAATGGCGATGTAATGCTACCGACGAGTTGGGTTTTAGTCGCTCACGGTCTAGCGTACTAAGGATACGCACGTAGTAATTTGATCCAGCAGTTGATCCAACGATTCCGTAATTGGCATCGACCATTTCTAGAAATTGACCAATAACTAACGGTACAGATTGAATCCGTTTGACTTCTTCTTTCGCACGAATGAGTTCTCGTTTAAGATTCTTCATTTCATCCTTAATATAACCCTCTTGAATATCTAAAAACTCCAAATGACGCTCAAGGGATTTGTATTTTGCATACAAATCTGTCTTTGTTTCAATTGACACAGGCACGAGTGGCTCATCGTCTGCAACAATAGGGGGCAAACCAATCTCTTCCATGCTACAAACGCTTTAATTCTGGGTTGGGAGATCCTACAGTTAATGTAGTCCACATATTAGTTATGTACAAAACATTCGACTTTATTACATGTTGAAGACAACATTCATTCTGCAAGAAACTAAAAGACGAGTGTATGTCACGTTTCATCTCTATAGTAAGTATTGGTGACGTCTATCAAAGGGTCCAAGATACTGACAAGATGGTATATGAGAACCCGTAAATCACACTTGAACACTCGTACAATGCACTAGTTAGACACCACGGAACGAATGCTTGTACATGACATGACAGATTGTGATTCCAGACCGTGGATGTTAGCAGATGAAGCTTTATCGTATATTCTCTCGATTGAATCTGCATGATGTAGTTGGTGATGAAGGTGAATCGATCGATGCTATTGAGACGAACAATTGAGCTGTCACGTACGAGCATTGCCAGCAAGAATCAGCCGGCCAAATACGATCTGCAAGTGGTCTCTTGAGGCGAAATGCAGTAGAGGGTCTGGAATTGATCTTGTCGATCTTTTTGCTGCAACATCACGTGCTGAAGGTTTCTACAGTCTTGTGTCGAAAAGGCTAATGAATGGTGGGTACATGGTGTCCTTGCTATCGTGCAGATTGGACTGTCCAGGCAGAAGCATGACCTGAAAGACGTGAGCCATCACGGCGAGTATGGCGGCTCTAGAGCAGGCTGCGAAGAAAGAGACAAATTTGCCGAGGGATTAAAGTGGAGGATGGAAAGTGAATAATAAGAAGCAGGCAAACTTTTTCAAGTCAAAGGCATTGCATGAGATCATTCGCACGTTATGCAGAAATGCCACGGAAACTGGTCTAGTGTCTAGAGAAGTGCAGATGTCTCGATTACTTTTATGGTCTCAATGTTGTGCACCCTGATCATCGACATGTGACGTCGGATTGCTTAGAATACAGACTCGAGAGCGCTTGGATTCCATTTTTCACGAGCAAGCACACATGCACCAAGCTATAGCAAGATGTTTGCTCACGCCGTTGATGTTTTGGAAAGATTAATACAGTTCTTGTAGACCTGCCACGAGTAAATGCCTTCAATGTACTTGATGCCGAGCCAATACCACCGGAGTGTGCAGAATTCTCCACATATGGTGTAGTTAAGATGATGCTGGCCGTGGGGAAACTCCGTATGACAGTTGCGGCCTGTGACCATTTTGGTGTCGTTGAGCCAGACCTCACACGGTCCGTCCAATGTATAGCCCGAGGTCACGAATGAGTCATTCGTCGGAATAGGCTGCGTCTCGGTCCTGGGACTTGTAAGACCACATCCAAAGATGGCCTCCTCCGTCACCTGATACAAGGATTCATCGTCCATCATGGCACGCAATGACGTGTAGTTGTTCTTGTGCATCCAGCTCTGTGCTTCAATGCTTGTATGAATACCTTGTTCCTGTAAATAAGCAAGTGACATGCCCTGGAAATCGAGACCGTCTACGATAAAAAAGGGCGTCGGATATAGAACAATTTGACCCTCACCTAAATCGCCATTTAATGGACGAAGACCCGTAATGCAAGTCGTCACTAGTAAAGCAGACACAAGAAGCAGCGGAAGGGCATTTGGTCGCCTCATTCTTTGGTCAAATATTTTTAGATGAGACGAAATGTGACGAAGAAATAAGTTACTGCTACCGACTGAGAGATAACAAAGTTGATTGGCATTCAAACAACTCAACGAACCAAACGACCGGTAGACTTGTCATTATATCCTCGATATACTTGCATTTGTTTTATTCATGATCAGGACATTCACATGCAGTGTTTTCTTCTTCTTGCTCATGTGATGATGGCAATACCCTCGTCTCAACTACCAAAAAGCACAATTGAAGAAAATATTCAACTCGTGGCGTGAAAGACCGTCTTACACCGATTCTCAGCTCAATTTCCCCTTCAGCTACAAATTTCTAAATAGAGCGTCATTACTCAGTGCTGCTGGTCTCCCGTCAAAAGTTCAAAAGACAGCCAAACTTCTTTGGTCTTCGGTCAATTGCGTCCTCCCCCCTTTTTTCCACCCCTCTAGTGCCGTTTGCGCCAGTTTTTCAATCTTTTTACAAAGAAAAACTGGCTCAGTATACAGAGTTGGAGAAAAGTAGGGGGAGCTTAACCTCAGCAACCCCCGCCTGTGGTTGTGTCACCACTGCTCTTCGTTGTTTCTAGTGTTGTAAATGCCTCCGCAGTGGTCGGATGCATTCCCACCGTATTCACCAATTGGTCGTACGTGAAACCAAGCTTCATTGCTAAGCCCATGGCCTCGCGTCACCTCGCCCGCATTCGGTCCCAGGTAATGGAAACCCAGCACAAAGTTGTCACGAGTTTTGTCGCAAATTATCTTCACATAGCAGGATTCGGCAAACGCGCGCGTCTCCTCAGCAAGTAACCATTCCAACGGAATGAAGTTCTTGTGGTACACCTCCACGTTGTCCTCGCCGTACATTTCCTTGCTGGCCTCTTCCGATAAACCGCAGCATCCGTATTCGATGGGCGTGAACACTGCAGTGCAAATTTTGTCATAGTCCATCTGTACAGTAGACTCGTTGTACAGACGGCGAAAGAGCAGACGTCCCGCCTGAATCGCCACTGGCGTGAGCTCAGGCGCATCAATGACATCACCAATGGCATAAATATTAGATGTCAAAGTCTGCTCATTCTTCACCCAGATGCGACCAGTTTTCTCGTTTAGCTTTACCCCAGCTTTGTCCAGGCCGAGTTTAGCAACGTCCGGGATACGACCCGTTGCATTCAACACAGTGTCAAATGCTTCCTTACAGCTTTTGCCATGTTCCGTTGTCCACTTAACTAGCAACTGGCCGTTTTCGAGCTTCGTGATGGACTGTGGAACAGCCCTGCAAATGAACTCGACACCCGACTGCACCTCCATGTATTCTCCAATTTTGTTTGCTATATCTTGGTCGAAGCCACGAAGCAAAATTGACCGCATCATTATCTTGACATCGTAACCCATGCCCCTTATGAAGCCCGCGCACTCAAGTGCTACGTACGAGGCACCCACAACTAACGTCTTGCCTGGTTCTTTCTTCATCCAAAAGATGTCGTCACTCGAAATCGCGTGCTCCCCGCCCGGGCACGCCAACTCTCTAGGTCGTCCACCCACAGCAATAACTACGTGACGAGTGGTAATCTGCTTCGTGCCCTTTTTTGGATGCCACAGCTCGAGTGTGTGTGGATCCACAAACGAGCCAAGGAAGTTCTCGTACTTGACATGCTTGCTGCAGAGCTCTACTTTATACTTGAAATTAATGCTTTTAATGTAAAAGCCAACATTCGATACGAGTTTCTCCCAACTAAAGCTCGGTGGTCTCCCGTCCGCACAGCTGACGTTCCAACCAAAGCTCGCGCAGTCATGGCGTAGAATCTCACCGATCAGAGAGCTTTGGTGCATCAGCTTCTTTGGGATACAGCCGACATTGACACAAGTGCCACCAAGACCCCAGGAAGTACCTTGTGGCGATGGCTTTACGTAGTCTAGTACACAAACCTTCTGACCAAATGATACTGCCTCTTTAGAGCAGACCAAGCCTCCAGATCCGCCACCAATTACTACCAGGTCGTAGTCATAGCTCACCTGTTCCTCCACGTCAGCAAAAGACGTCTCCGACTCTACTAATGCAGTGGCAGTAGAAGTGTTGGTGTTAGCACTCGCAGTAGAAACATCAGTTTGTTCTCCTGTCATTTCACTTGAGCCACGCCTTGGGGGTTCCCGACAGCGACACTAGACCGAAAAACTGTTAGCAGGTCGTCACAGCCACCGACAAATGTTGTAGGGTTACTGCTCCATATAAAAGGTGATGTTGCATGTTTTGTGGCCATGGAGTCGGTTCCAAAGTGCGTAATAAAGTCATTCCGCGACATAAGGAGCCACAGCTTGAATGTATCTCGGTCTTCAAACGGATGCATCTCAAAAGCTACACGTTCTGGATACAGTATTTGGATACTCCTCGCCACGTCTCCAGCCATGATAAATGATGGACCTATCAATCAGATTGTTATATAATAATCATAGACAAATGACATGTTTTATTCAGTGTGAAAGAGGATACGGATAAGTACAATCGTATTGCCGCCTCACATGTTTTCCAGCCTGCAATATGAAACGTGGAGACACAAGAGCGTGGTGTCTTTATTACCGGTGAATCTATCAAACTATCGAAAGAGAGAAGAGATAAGAGAGAGAATGATAATGTTCAGTATGGTTCAACCAATACAAAAAGGTCCAATAGAAACGTACTTGACACCTGACGCCATTTTCCTAGTGCTTCTTGCTCTACAGAAGAAACGGCGGTCCTAGGATTGTGGTTGGTTCAATGTTTATATAACCTAGTAAGCTTTACGTCCTAGAAACAAACAGCTCAAGCAAACTTTGTATATTGTGTCCTTCTTGACACTGACTGACTATACACTACTTCGAGGATAGACCTAAGAGCGTACCGGCGAATCTATTCATATCTTTTACTACCAGGCTCAGCTAATTATTCGTCATGACCTAATCGGTCATTCCTACCGACTTGCACCAATTTATTTAGGACAAAACCGCAAAAAGTAGTAGTATGTGTCTTGGCGAAGACAGCCTAATCAATATGATACTATTTGTCTTAGTAGAGAAACACATGTAATACTGTAGTATAATACTATGTTAGTGGATAATATCCAGCGACCGCTAGTCATACATCCTATCTTGTGTAAGTCTACAACTCCCATGTCTACTTACGTACGTACACGTAGTAAAGTATACAAAAGGTTACCTCTAGTTTATTATAACATTAACTCTTTCGTCCACCAATTCCACCACGCTCATGACTGAAGTAGCTCGTGAGTTACGTCCAGTGTACAAGAAATTACTGCGTCTAGCACAAAGTTTACCCGAACCAAAGCGTCAACAGTCGATTGATAAAGTTCGTCATGAATTTCGTAGTCATAAAGGTTTAATTGATCCAAAAGAGTACGTCATCTATCTATCTATCTGTCGTTGTCTATCTATCTGTCTGTCTATCTATCTGTCTATCTGTCTGTGTGTCTGTCTATCTATGTGTGTGTTTAATCCATTAATGATCAAGTAATTGATGTTGTTTCTTATCAACGATAGAATCTCATCGTTACTACAACGTGCACAATCGTCATTGGGCTTTTTAAAGATTGTTACACGTCGTTTGGATGCTGGTAAATAAGGCTTTTGCTTTGTCTTTGGTCTCTTTATGTATTGAGTCTTTATGGGTCTTTATGATGATGTTGCCTAGACTCGGGAGTACAGCGTTTCATTTATCGCAATGGACAACGTATGGATGCTACTGAATTTGAGGCAAAAGAGGGAGAAAATGCACGTTACAAGACGCAGGATATGGAGGCAGGACTTCGACGTCATCACCAACTACTACGACGTCAACACTTTATGGACCGGAAGAGTGGTCCTCCACGTCCTATTTTCTAGACAAGAAGAGGAAGAAACAAGATGAAGAAGACCTTATGTGGTAAAATGTCTTTCTGCAATATGATTGACGATATTGCGCGGCAGTGGATGTTTTTGTGTATTGTGCTGTTGGTGTGTGCAGTCGTCATTAGAAAAGTTGCAGACTAGCACGCAGCGTCGAAGAAGCCTGCTTTGTTTGTTTTTTCGACGTGAGCTGTGACGTTTGATAGTTGGTGCTTCGTGCACTCAATCTGCTGCGTACTACGCGCAACTCACTGTATAGCAGCTTTGTCTGCACATTGAAGTCTTCTATAATTGTGTCTATGGTCTCGGGTTAATGGTAGTGTTGTCAATTATGCTTGCGAGAGAATAAGGGAAAATGAAAGGTACTGCTACCACCTGACTGCTCGACCACTAAGGAGAAGTTCTATCACGAGTGGAGCTAAACTGGAGGTCCGATGTCCGAAAAAGATACAGAGCTAAGTCTGAAGTCGGGGAAGCAACTTGTCTCGAGGATGAGGCCACTGTGAAGTATTTCCTGAAAAGCGGTTTTGTTGCAGGCCTTTTGGCCGATCAGTTTTGCGGCTTTATATCGCGCATCGCATCCGAGAGCAGCTCGTTCTTGTTCGTAATCAGTGGCTGCATTTGCATGTGAGCTGGTGCTTCATGACGTCAAGCCATGTGTTTCAATGATACATCGTTTTGTCAGATTCATCTAGCTCGGCATGGCGTTGTTACAACAGAGCAGTCGGGTCTGTAGTGGTAGCGTTATGAATCGGAACGCAGTCTGAATCTACGATCGGTCACAGCAAATAAGCTCAATTGGCTTGGTTGTGCAGAGGTCCACAGGCCTGCTTCAATTTGATTTATGTCTACAAGGCCTTAGCCTTTTGCATTCAAAGCTACGTATCCTGTCTCTAGAACTATCAACGCAGCAGTAGGTAACGCTTGGTTTCTTATCCGCCCATGGAAAGTTGTTCGACGTCTTATCTTTGTGATCTCCCGGGACTGACAACTAGGAATACACACGTCATTTGCATTAGCCTGTTAAATGAGCCAAATGATGACAAGGACAACAGTTAACAACGCTTTAGCAAGAACTCGAATGGCGATATCTCTGATAAGATCTGGAGACTGGTGAGAATTGACAAACATGACATGAAGGAATGAAGCGTTAGGTCGCTAGCCAAGCGCTCTCTTCAAACAAATTCTGTCGCCTACTTTGCATGCTTTCATCTACTTGCTTGTCAGTTGTTGCGGATACAGAATTGAATGTTTTTCGACAGACAACTACGGCTGATGTAGTATCAACAAGAAGCAGCGGCGTTGCTGTCGTGACCCCTTGCTGACAAAACATACTGATTTTTATGGTGAGTTCGTATGTTTCTTACATACCTGACCACCAGCTATTCTTCTACACACGTATTGCACGATTGCCGATTGCACGGTGGGTGTATTCCAATATGACTGATGCTTTTAGCATTGGACAGACGACGGACGATGCACTGACGTTCCTGTAGCGGTCCTAGTACGACTATTGAGATGGCTACAGCACCAAGTTGCCCCGTCTCAGCTTTCAGTGCCGGCTGTTTTGAGCATCCATTGGTGGCAGCAGCAGCACCAACAACAGACAAACAGATGGACTAGAGAAAATGAAGACTTTGTATTGAACGAGGTGTTGAGAAGACGCAACAGTACTCACTTGATCCATTAGATTTTACAATTTTTCATGCCTTGCCACGCTTGAGAATGCCCACAGGTTTGAATTCTGAAATAGTTGGCGGCTCATGATGTTTTAGCGATCGCTGCGGAGATCTCCGTGAAATTGTTACGCAGCTAGACATTATGCTACTCTCCAATACGCTGTCTGATTCAGAGCGACCAAGGCTAACAACACCAGCACCAGCACGACGCATCTTGCGTAGCGCCTGGAGAGCATCGTCAATGTTAAAGTAAAACTGCTCTTCTGATCGAGCAGGATCACTTAGCCATGCACATAGAGCAGAGCTTTCGATACGATAGGCACCATTTCTTACGGCCACGAGATCCACGAACGAGCGACGCAACATTCGTAAGTCTTCTGCCGTCAGTTGAAAATGGGCCTTGGCTTGTTCCTCCGTAACAGGCGAATACGGTCCTCCTGTTGCTCCTATCATAAGCTGCAGAAGTGGTTTTGCCTTATCCCACACACGATCTCGGCCTTGGCCAAACTTGTCCTCAAAAATCTCCGCATAAATGTCGTACAGTGTCTCTGGCAGTTCATGGAGCACGTCAAGCGGTACTGCGCCTTCCTTGCTTACAACCGCCAACCCCGGATGTGACAGCGCCTGCTTTGTAAAATTTAGGTACGCAAAGTTGCCAGCACCTTTTTGCTTCAGCACCTTCTTCGCCTCCTCTACATCGTTGTCGCTAAAGTTGCAAGCAATGTCGTCAACAAGCGAGGATACATCAGCCACGAAAGCATCGTTTGTTGCGCTGAAATCCAGTACCGATGACACAGGAAAACATTCTGCTAGCTTTGACGAAGGCTTCGAAGACACCATGATACGAACCCACAATGGAATCTGAGGGATAATCTGCGCAAAAAAGTCGAGCAGCTCGTTTTGACCGTAAAGTCCTGTAGCGCACTGGTCAATTCCGTCTACAAGAATAAATGACGCCTGTTTGGGCTCTTCCACAGCGTTCAATGGATCCACGAGCACCTTTGCAGCAAGAAGAATCGGGTCTGCTTCTTCCAGCACGTACTTGAGATTGAGTCGTGCCAGATGGTTTTTAAATGACGGCAGGTTATCTACCAGCTGATGCACAACCGAAAGCAGCACGTTGCGTGGACTGCTTTTGCTCTTGCGATCAAACTGACAGCAGTGCGCAGCCAGCAGGTTGTCATGGAACTGCTGGACCACTATACCACAGAATGCACTCTTCCCGGTTCCTCCGTCACCAACAACAGCCAGCAGCGTGTCGTTGTCCACGTTCACGTCTAGCCATTCCTCTACACGAGTCAGTGCCCACGATCGTGTCCCGGGGGTCAGACTACGAGCATGCGCCGCGAATTCGGACGTACAATCGATGAGTGGAAACATGTCGTTGATCTGCTCGGCGGTCAACGGTGTTGACAGTGCATTTTCTGCCACGGGGGCTAACTGCGTAAGTCGCACACTAGCGCGTGCTTGCGAAGGAGGCATCTTGTGGACATTGGTGCGGGATGTGGCAAGCCGATCACGTGTGGCCGGCGACGTCTTGGTAGATGTCTGACGGGTTAAAACCGCCTGATCAGCAGTCGATAGCGGTTCCGACATCGATCTCTTGAGAGGCATCGCCAATGTACTTGATTGCATTGCAGACAGCTGCGTGATAGCGCTTTTCAGTAAGAAGAGTTCTTTCAGCACATCGTAGCGAATCACATGGAGCTCGTTAATGACTTCTCGTCGAATAATCTTGACCTCTTCTTTCACTTCAAGCACATCAGCTCGAAGCCGTTCAAGTCCAAGGTCTTGACGACCTGTTGCAGTATTCTGGGTTATCGACATGCCAGGACTTGTATTCTTCTGCAGAGTCGAGACCACGACATTGTTTGGAGGTGTCGTTGAAACACTTGTGCTCCCGTTACTCGTGACTTCCACATCTTCATGTAAGGCTGAAAGTGGCGTATGATGATTACTACGAAGCTGTTCCGTAGTCCGATATTGCGGGATATTCGGTGACGGTGAAGTCTTTGAGCGTTCCCGATTGTAGAATATCTCATCCACATCGTCAGTGACATTTGCATTAAATGTCATACTCCGATCAGAACGTATTGATATATCCTCGGTTTGTTTCAAACGCATGGAATCTTCATCTAAATCCCAGGAAGCAGTTTCCTTCTTGTGCAAACGTAGTTTACTCTTGAGTCGATAGATGGTACTAACCATTAGAGTTGATATGTATTAAGGACGACAACAACAAGTAGAAGAAGAAGAAGAAGAAGAAGAAGAAGATGTAGAAGAAGACTATTGTCGTAATGACGGCCAAAGTTGAAATGAGCTTCAAGTGATGAGGGAATATATTATACATGTACATACATACATACATACAAGCCCGTGGAAAGCACAGGATGTAGAGACTAGTAAACCCTATGCTAAAATATCTCGTACCATGTGGTACATACGAGTAGAGAAAACAAGACATTCAACTGGCGTGAGGCTAGTATGTAACAAGGATAATACTTGGTAAACTATCGACTTGTCGAACCTCTTGACGGATGTGGATAGAGTTTTTAATAGAAAACATCTTTGACTTTCCAACGGACGAACAGCTTGAAGCCAGAGAAATTTAACGCCTGGCGTTTTTTATTTTTTCATTCTTTACCTTTAAAGTATTTATGAGCACATTCATTCTGACAAGAATTGACCCATTTTGGACGAAATTGGTAGCACAAGTCCGAAACATAACGTCGCTGCAACTATATCATGATGATAAAGTACTCAAATATATCTATTCCGACCCTAAAATTCAACCAATTTGATGATGAATTGCTTCCGATAACAAAAGTATCAAGACGACAACTGAATTTCTATTGCAAGTACGGGATGCCATGTGATTAAAATAGCTGCACCGTATACTAATTGCATCAATTGATATTGTCATTAACAAATTTAAGACATACCAGGTGGTGGACGATGTTGCAACGATTGATGATTGTTTCCAACATCTGAGACAGCATGAGAGCGTAGCAACGATACCTAGAAACAGCCACAAAATTGAAACAATAATGTGTTAGCGCACGATGCATCTTCTTCATCTTCTTATCTTCTCCCCATCAAAGATTGAACATCACTCACCTCGGCCTGGAGGTTCAAACACATCTGCCGAAACATTGTCACTTCATTCTGCAATCCATTGATGATTTCTATTCGTTTCAATGACAAGTATACAAAATACAAAGGGAAAAGACAACAACACATTGTTAGTCAGTCAGTCACATGGTGGTATTCATTGACGTGCGTACATTGACTATGGCAAAAGAACGGACGTCATAAAGATACAAGGCACGTACCAGAACTGCGCTGTAATTGATCCTGGAGACTGCGATTTGCATGCTACAATACCACCAGAGTATTAAAATGATGGGCACAGCAACGGCATATGCACATTGGAAACGTTAGCAATACGAAATTTGACACTTTGGGGTCAAATAGCGAGACGACGTACCCCCAGTTGTTCTTGCATCATTAAAAGCTGTGAGTTTTGCTGCGTACAGCGAAGCAGCTGATCCATCACCTCCGTCACGGCGACGGTACGCTTCACTTGGCCATCTTCGCGTGTGATCGTGATGTGCGCTGGTGTGTATATGGCACCTAGCTCCGTCTCTGATTGAGACAGAGGGGTACTAACTGGTGGAGAGGTACCATTGGAAGGTGGTATCGTTACTTGCTGTGGAGGCTGCGGTTGCTGTTGTGGGGGAGATGCTGCCTGAATATGAATGAATTCGACCGTCAAAAACAGGGTCATAAGATCTAGTCCAGTACCTAGTCGTTCGCTTCATGAACGTACCTTCTTTTTTTGCTGCTTTTTGGATACTGGATTCATTTTCTGCTGCTGAGGCACAGACTGTGACTTCTTGTCAATGTCATTACGAACGTCACAAGTCTATCGAAACCGCAACGAACAACAAACAGCATGAGTCAACGATGTTATTCCACACTGTCCAGCATCATCTATATCAATACATTGTTGCACCTTTTGCAATGTCTCGTTCAGTATATTTTTCTCCAGTAAAGGTTTCAGTTCCTCCACCTTCTTCTTGTCCTTATTATCATCATCCTTGATACTCAACGATAGCTCTGTATCTGGCAATCCAGTGGGCGATTGAGGCAGTATTTTGCTCTTTTTGCTCTTGCTTTTCTTGGGCTTTGAGACTGATACAAATGCCAAAGTCTTGAGCTGTACAGATTCACTAATATACATACAAAACATCAATATTTCCATCTACATCAAGCAGCAGCAGCATCTTCTTCACCTATTTTTCTTCTTTGATCGCGTCTTTTTCTTCTGCTTTTGCTTTTCTTTTCGTTCCTGTTGTCTTTCCTCAGCACTTCCATCATCTGAGTCCAAATAATTTGTCACGTGCAATTGATTTAAGGCCGTAAACACGCTTGGTTTGTTACGAGTAGCCGCCATTCTTGTGGTTTATGAGATTAAGTGATTTACTGGTAATCGTGATAGTAATAGATCGAAGTGTGGCTGAGCATGCTAAATTCAAAATGAGAGGGTTATGCAGGATAATAGTGTTGGTTTTTAGTTCACTTATATCAGTAGATAGCATTATTAACATAAGTTATTGTATTTATAGATCAATGTACTGATCATGTTGCACTACAACAAGTCTTTTGATATATGGATGTGACCAGGTAACTTGTTGCAAGTTTATATGAGCTCTTTTGTTTTCCTACTCATAAGTATCAGGGAATTTTACAGGTACCTGACGAACCTCATCGGGTGACCAAAGCTTTCCTCCAGCTAACAAATCCGTAATCTCCTGACACGAGAGATTGACGGACGCAATGGACTCGAAAAGCTGTTGCGATGACAGGTTCTTGGGAAAGTTGTGTAACAATTGCATAATGTCTTCGGGCTCCATTGTTAACAGTGAATCTTGGAAAAGTGACAAAAGACCTGTAGAAAAGCACAGCACACATCAGCTCCACATTCTTAGGTTTCGATTGGACTGACAAAGAGGCCTTCCTTACCCATGCTAGCCTGGAAAAAGAATGGCGATCCTAGCAGGACGTAGACGTCCCAGATGCGCAACGCAAGGTCCAATGGCAAGCTTCGAGTAAAAAGTGTGAGAGCCCTGTCCAAACAGCAACAGTATGTCATCGTGAGCTGATTGCAAATGCCACGTTCGACACAATGTAACAACATACCAGTCAACCGCGTACATCTGTGCATCGATACCAGTCTCTTGAAAATGCGTCGCCAAGGATGGCAATTCGTATTCTAAAATTTGATTATAAACATCAATGTAGTGAAATGTCTTCACATTGAAATCAATATCCGAAACAGCTTTGTCAGCACGAACCACAACACACGATTGATTCACATGACGTCACGTACTCGCGTTGACTCCAGACGGAACATGTCAAAAAGCAAACTAGAGCTCATCAGGGCTACCAACGCCTTAAAAGCAGTGAAGCTGTCCATGTGGAAGCACAGTGTGGCCGCCAAATAGCTCATGCCTTGTACATACCCCAAATCAGGTCGATAGCAAATGTACGCTTCCAGTACCTCAGTCGTGCGCTCCGTGCCTTCGGCACCAGGTTGAAACAGTGGATGGTGACCAAATGTGCGTGGCATGTCAACATTAACAAGCTTTATGCTACGTTCACCATGTGCGACAAGCATCTCAGCAATCCCCACGGCGTCCAGTAACATGTTCTGCACAGGAAGTACTGCAGATGATCGCCTCGCTCTTTTTTGGTCGTTCACGCCAACTACCACTGGGGTTTCGATTGATGGTCGAGCTTCAGCAGCAGATACCGTGCTATCGGCGACGTGGGGTATTTCCGACTTTTCTGTAGCTAGTGTTACTTCAGTATCTTTCACGACACTTTCGAAAGTGGATGAAACACTGCTCATACTCGAAAAACTTCTGGTCGGTGACTCAAGAATGATACTTTCATTGTCCGAGCTAACCGTCGGTGTCTCAATCATTGGTCGGTCCACACTCCGCTTTAAGGACATTTCCATCAACACAGCCTGAGCTCGAGCCTTGCAGATATTAAACAGATCTTCGTTCACTTGCAGTGTGTTTCCAAGAAGCCAGGCCCAAGCGCGGCCACGTAGCTCCTTGGGGATACCCGCAAAGCACAAAGCATCCAGCAGAGGCACGTCGTCGCGTGTACTACCGCTTGGCAGTGTAAACACATCGTCCAGCCATATCTCAGTAAACGTCCATTTTAACTTCGGAAGCTGTTGACGCCGTCTCTCCATACGTCGCTCTTTGGACGCGCGCTTGTGTGATTTCTTCCAATTGTTTTGCATAGTGGCCGCTGCGTTCAAAGGTTTCGTCGTACTCGACAGATTCCGACCAATGAGAAAAGATTCAAAAACTGATCGGTGTGCTTCATCGCCTTCTCCAGGCAGCAATTCACGCAGCTCCTTCACCCATTGACGCCGCTCTTGCTCCGTCGTTGCGCTTAAAAACAGTTTCCTCGTTGAAGTCTGAAGTACAAAGACAAAGTTGCCAACATGGCACACCTGATTCTGATCGTCAATCTATCAACACACAAACAAACAAAGTATGAAAACATCATCCATATTATCATCAGTCTTCAAGTCAAATGACAATGTACAATGTACAAGCATTCTACTGTTCCATTCTATACAATAATAACACAATTACCACTTGAACATTTCCTAACGATAATAACAATCGTGGTGTGCGACCAGATTTGGTAGAATACGTAATCTCATTCTATCAATAATCAATAAAATGATCAAAAAACGTCAAATTTTCAGCTTAGAAACATTCTTGTCCGCAATATTAAATTCAATTAATTCTTGTCATCACGTCACAATTATTATTTGCCTTTGTGAGCATAAAATAACGAATGCGCCAGATTTTCAAATGCTTGCTCTGCTCCAAATGACATCAATATACATATACAGTCAATATCATATCATCTATAGTCCAATACATGCACAAATGTCTTACCTGCTTGTGTAAATAGCCCTGTAGCACTAACTCGTGTGGTGCTGGTCTTGTGCTCATATTCTTATTCTTATTATTGTTTTTAGAAATAAGTAGAAATGATAAAGACAAGTTAGAAACAGTACATCATTTCTCCCAATCAATGGTACGATCTTGATTTTAACCAATTAATCATCCGAATGAAAAGGCTCAGTCTCTTTCCTTTATTTCTATTAGTGTCAGTATAAAATGCGACGCCCAAATAATGTCATAGCTCCGCTATCTCATCCAACGTCTTCAGCTTCAAATCAAAGTAATCACGAACGTGTACGTTCTTCTACTCGTCTTATATCTAATTCTTCTTCTTCTCCTTCTCTTCAAGCAGTTGTATCGAATGGTACATGGACACTTCCACCTTTAAATCAGTTTATGACTTTACCTCGTAATTTCTTAGCTTCTCATTTTAATACTTCTATGACTACTATTTATTCGACTAGAGGGAGTAATAATCGTAGTAATAGTACTACTACTACTAGTAGTAGTAATCGTACTATTGTCAATCCGTTAATAACTAATGGCTCCGGGCTTGACAATTTACTTAATGATGAAGATGAAGAATGGAATGCATCGGATCATTTTGTTTTACCTCATATGATGCATTATCAACGTCGGAATGAAGTGTTAGAGACAGCAGAAGAAGCAGCAGCAGCAGCAGAAGAAGAAGCAGAAGCAGAAGAAGTAACGAGTCCACAGGAAGAAATTGATCTTACTGTCTCATCCTCATCTGAAGATGAAGATTATGAACCCAATGCAATTGGAGACAGTGATGATGTTATTGAAATTATTGAACCGTTGCAGACATTAGTAAACGCTTCTCAGCCGACGTCTTTGCGTCGGAAACGACGTCGATCAGGAGTGACTGCAAGTGAAAACGTCGTTTTGGAACCTAAACGTCAGCACGCCATGGACATGATGCAAAGTGTTGAATCGACGGATGTTGGAATGCGTAACAGCGAGATGTTGCAGAAATTTAAGAATGAACTCAAGTGCACCATTTGTCTCGATGTGATGGACGACATAACTTCTACGATATGTGGTCATATTTTTTGCGCTGGATGTATCCGCCAAGCGATTCGTGCCAATGGAAAATGTCCGCTGTGTCAGCGTCGTTTGCATCTCAAGGACATTCATCCACTCTTTTTTTAGCATTACCAGCAATAGCCAGATTAGTAGATTTTTTATTATATGGTATGCACGGCGCTGGAACTTTATTGTGACTATAACGTTGTCAACACGTGGGATTTTTTCGTGTTGCTGAAGCTGCTACAGCTGTCGGGATATCTGTGGAGTAATACTGGTTGAAATTGAGCCGGAGTAGAAGACACTATTGCGCAAAACGTGGCACGCAGACAGAGTGCAGATGTCAGCATATTAGAGCGAAACCCATGACTTCTGCTATCTATTTTGATCTGCATAGCCAAGCACGAAGACGCTAGACCAGGAAATATGCTAAGCAGTTTACGTACCTCCGAAAACTTGCGTGTGTTTCGATCTGCATTGCGAGAAGCATCGTACAGGCAGCACACCAGTGCTCTGAGAGTGACGTCTAATTCATCGCACAATACGCGCGTATAGGTATTGTCTGAAGCCCGTCCTTCTACTTGTCGCTCCAAACTACGTATGAATCCCGTTAATTTCCAGGCTGCGGTGAGCACTGCGGATATCGCCGGGCGGATCTGCAGAGCCGTGTCAGCGGAGTGAATAGGTGTGTCAGCGGAAGGATATATTACAATGGAAGATGGCTTACCGCTATTGCAGGCGTATCCAGGAAACAGCAGCAAAGTGCAATGGACACGTATTCTTCGTGGCAGCGACGCAGATCTGTTAATGTTGTCGCCTTTTGTGATGCGCATTTGAGCTCCGACCATGCCAGCATGAATACCTGTATACAATGTCCACATGTTTGCCCACGTTAGCATTTTTCAACAACATGACTCGCAGTCTCAATCATGCACCAGACCTCTGTTGCAAAGGTCTCGTTAAATGCTTGGAGGAATGCCTGCATTTTGTAGACGACGCCTCCGCACAACCGCTCAAGTAATGATGACAGTCGTCTTTTTTGGCGAATGGTGCGCAACATTCCCCACACTTCTCTCATTTCCAACGATGTCATCCGCATGTGAAGAAGAAACCGGTGCAGTTGCTTATAGTCATTCAGCGAGCGTGATGTGATCACTAACCCCAGCGGCCATTTGACGTCATAAACTAATTCGAGTTCGCTGAGCAAACTTGGCACAGCTGGGATCATCGTTAGACTACTTAGTACTGCCCACAGCCAAGACAATGTGAGATATCATCAAACGGTATTCATTCCTCTTGAGTACTTGCTTACTTTGCGACAAAACTGCAGTAGTCTTATAGTGAAAGTTCTGTGCAATGGTATTCATTGACACAGATCCCTCGATCATAGCAAGAGTAAGAGCCGATGTAAGGCGGTCCCCGGCTCCCCAGTTGACGCGAGTACTTGACTTGAAACCAAATAGAAAGTCGCGCGCGAAGATATCCATGCAAAGGCCTTCTGACATGAGCATCAATTTACGTAGCCAACGAAGGTGTTCGAGCATCTGTAAAGAGTTGCGAAGCCAATCCACCGCCACTTGCTCTAGCTTTTGAAAGACAAGGCGAACGGGTATCTCCACGCAAGAGTTTATTGTCGACGCAAATGACGTAAAGTCGGCCTCAGAATTATTCTGCAAGCCGAAAAAACAGACAGAATGAGGCCCTTTCGAACGGATACCATAGAGGAGGAAGCAAATAAAAAATGACAGCATATTACCTCAGTTAGTGCCCGCGTCAGCACCTCACAGTCTTCTTGCGGAATCGCCATCGAAAAGAAAGGGTGGACCGGAGGAAGCGATATGTGCGTAAACTTTGATGGAGCTTGTTTCACACATCCATCTGCCTGAGATGATAGTCCCTCGTCCTGTTTATCGCTTGTTGACCGTGAAGATCCTTTCTCTTTGTGAGACACATCCTGCATGTGGACATCTTTATCCACCTTAGCCTCCGGGGATGGCTCTGTTGGCATAAAATCAGTCGTTGGGAATTCAACTCGACGACTGTCTGTCATGCTAGCTGCTACACAATAATCGGCGTCTTTGGCTGCAGGTACTATGTCAGATCCGCCATACAACGTCTCGTACATATGGGCCCCACTTCCTCCCGGTTCATTTGAAACGCGGACACCAGTCTTGCAAGAAGCGATGCCAGTTGATGCCAAGCTTTTAAAACTACCGGAGCTATGGCTGTCAGCCTGCAAATTCACTTTGATTGAAGCTCTCCAGGTATCGTTGTTCGCGGATATCGAGCTGCAGTTTCCCAACACTGTGTTCGCTTTCACTGAAGCTCGCCAAGCACCACCATCACCTGTGGACATCTCGCAGCAGTGTCCAACCTCTTTGTGCACTTTCACTGAGGGCGTCCAGCCATCCTTTTCGATGACAGATACTGACAGCTCCTCGGATGCTGCAATTGACAAGCTGTCTCCGTTGTCCGCTGCCACTGAAGTAGTATTGCCACCTTCCTCAACCAACGAGATCATCTCTGTCACATCAGCAACACACGTTGCTGACTCGCGACTTGGTTTGTCTTATCGAGACCGAAGAAGCATCATCAAATTAGTTTGTGCATCGCCTGATCCACCAACAGCACCATGAGTGTTCCGTACCTGGTGTCCTCTGATTCATATCATCTACGGGGAACATTTGAAGCTGTTCAGTTGCTGTAGATAAGCACGCATTGCGATCCCTCTGCCACTTGATGCAGTCATGCTGCTCTTCTGCACCCATCATCAGCGTTGAGTTTCTACAAGCAAGCACACTCAAATATTACTTTCACATAGACATGCACCAAAATGCCGATCATTACGTACTTATCAACCAAACTCTTACTGCCTAATGCCTCCTCATCCATTTCAGCTTCATTTATCTCCTTGCGTTGCCTTACACCATCAGCGTTCCCCTCCTGAACCACTTGAGAATGATATGGCTTCTTTTCTAGTATTTGCTCGTCCAATATATTCTTCTGCTGCAACTGAGAGCTTTCCTTTGCTTTGATCTACCAAAATAAAAGTATAAGCAATTCACAGTGGAAATGAAAACGCAAGTCATCGACACGCTTACATTTTCGAGCACAAACTTTCGCCCTCGTTCTTCAGTTGACGCAAAATCCATTTTTGTTGACACGCGTTTCGAACTTTCTGAGCTGATTGTATGCAACACATCAGTTCCGTACACCACGGCTTCATCAATGATCGATTGCCACTCCTCTGCGTACTCAGTAGCTTTATTGCTGCATGTACATATGAACAAAGGTTGTATGTTTACCTGGTGTTATCAACGTTAGCGATCGCATACAGAGCGTACGTGATGGACTGAAAAACTCACCAGCGGGTGAGTAGATTTGATAGCATTGACGCTTCGTAAAAGGGCTTGGACCTGACTGAGGTGAATAACAAGGGGAGCTATTTTCTCCAAGAAAGATGGTAGCATCTGGATTGCATCGACGGATAAATTATCGCTAAATATCCCATCTCCTGTGCCTGCAGCAGCTTTTTCGAACAATTGTCTGCTCCACGTCGTAAGTCTGAATTCTTCCTAATGAGTCCACAGCAAGACTAATAATATTAACACGATTTTCAGCGACATTCACATATTTAATGCAGGACGTACGAATGGGTCCGTCGCCTCATCAACGCTCCCTGACGAAATAAGGTCGGAAAGCGCAGACAGAAATGGTGAACACGCCTTAACAAGAAACCATACGACCAACTCATGGATGTGTCCAGCGGCATCGTCCACGCGTAGAGAAGAGACGTGGTGGTGCAAATGGTTGAGCAGCGCAACGCCTCGAGATAATTTTCCTAGATATTGGATCGACAACATGTGGCTTAGCAGCTATGGACCCCTGGGCTTGGTAATAACTCGACTACAAACCTTGTTGCAGTAACGGCCAGAACACATCTTGGTCACAGCCAAATATGTGCCCAACAGTTTTCAAAACATCGCACAGTTTGCGAGTATTGCAGACAAGCTTCGTGACAGATGCAACTTCATCTTCTTGGTCCGTTTCAGACGAGACCAGGCACTGCTGCGCAATTCTTTCTGCAAAAGTCTGATACCAGCAATGTATTAGATTAATATAAATTAGCCCACGATAGCCTCACAACACAATCTCCCAACTTACTCGATGCATTGACAGATACAACTGAAGTGCATCTCCCACTACTTGAAGAGTCTTCCCTCCTCTTGAAGGATCTTGAGAATAGTAGATAGCTAACAATTCTAATCGCATAACCATTGTGCCAGCTTCACGAAAAACCTAGCAAAATGTGTTTACGATTCAATCGTCATACACGGCCATTGTAAAAATACAAGTAACAAATAATACCTCTAAAACCGACAAAGTGGCCGATACAGTTGTGTTTCGGAGCTTCAGCTTGTACTTCTCAGGCAGCTGAAATGTTGCCGATTGAAAATGCCTTCGAAAAACCGTCGAGTTGATTCCACTTAATGCTCGAAGACAATCCTTCGTAATGACCACTAGTGTAAGCAACATATTTACCAAGACCTCGACCCACTTTTATACTTAAACTCACCTCAACTAGGTCGACTTCATGAATTTCCAATAGCATATCTTTATTATGATTCTTGCCAGCAAACTCATTGGGAATCACCAGGTCGTGAAGTGACCGTGGTACTTTCCCACTCGATGGCCTCTGGTAGTCATTTGGCAATCCTATTCGACCCCCAAGGTCCTCCCACGCGAATGTTTGCGCTATCCAGGGCTCAGTAATATCAGGTGATCGATCAGAATACCACGATGAAGTTTCTGTAACGCTGCTCGCCACCTCCCAGTCTACCTGCTTCACTACTCCACAATGCACTTCCTGCGTGCTGTCATAAAAAAACACCTCGTTCGTGGGCGTCAGGCACTTCACATGCCCCGCAGAAGACGTCATATGAGTCGAAGCATGCCCAAAGCGCTCCCGACAAGGAGTATCATTGCTGTCCGAACAATGCATTAGTCACAATTTGAGAGCATCTATCCGTAACAATAAACTCGAAGTGACTTACGATGGCATAAAACTGCGATCGACATCGACTCGAGCTGATGGAGTTCCAGGAAGATTGAAGAATTGATTGCGCTGCATTGCACATGTATGCAGTTGGCCAACAGTAAGCCCACCGGAGCGTCCTGAGTGGAGAACATGCAAAACACCAAATACCTACCTGCTTATTTGACATCACGTTTACGAGGTTTTCATCATCAGGAAGGCTTGAATCAGGGCACCATAGACTGACATGTTGGTTTGGTATGCCATTACCAAAACTACTAAACAAGTTTTGTGAAAAGCATCTGCACCCAGTCAGTCATCAGATATCGATTAGTATGGTGAGTCAAAGGTAGCATATTCCCACCACTACTTACGCTTTCTCTTCCAACGGAACTGGCGCCTTGCTAAAAAGCGCTTTTGAACGCTGCACTATCTCAACATCGTGCATGCCAATACGGTCACCTATGCGCTTCTTTCCACGGTCATGAAACTATCAAGTAAAGTCAACAAAACCAAACAGGTCATTCAATAAATCGTCCAGCTACTTCACTTCTTCTCGTCACTTGTGTGTTCATTACCTGCATCGAATCCATGACTACAAAAGTCTTTCCATCTTTTCCTCCTGCTAGATCCACCAAGAGTTGCATCACTTTGCCTATAGGAACTATAATCCAATTACAATCACTCCGTCATCAAGTATTACGTAATCTCCATCCAAGTAAAAGCTCATCAACAGCGAATCACCTTCATCTGCTTCATCTTCATCCTTACGCTGTTGTTGTAGTGGATTGTTGATACTTAAGCAGTATTCCACCACTTGATCCATCCGATCGATGAAATAATGTCTACAAAAGACAGACAGAGAGAAGAGATACATATCATATAAGACAAGAAGAAGGTAGAGTATACAGTATACATTTGCATCATTTGTATCATTTGTTATAGTGTCCACTTACACATCTCCATACTCACCACAAGATAGAATAGTGGCACGTATAGTAAGCAATTTATGCTCACATGACATTGCAGAGTCTGGACGCTAATACAATCAATCAAGTATACGTAAATGAGCGTGTCATATTGATCTTCCTAGTAAGTAGTGAATGATAAACCATACAGGGCTTAAAAGATGCTCATAGACTGGTAACACACGTCTTAGATTGCAATATGATTCACAGCAAATCTTTGACCGTAGAAGCTTTAGTAGATTGATAATACTACCACCATCACTAGAAGAAGAAGAAGCTACTGCTGCTGCTTCTATTGACTGCATTACAATGTAGGATGTATACACAATAAACACATGGAAACAAGTATACACAAGTATACAGTATATCACCTAAAACCCAATGACTACATTCTACTTTCTGTATATGAGGAATTATTACTGACACTATCCTGAAATAACTTCCGAGATAGCACGTGCCCATTGATGCGAAAGGTTGTTTAAGTCCGTCACTCGTATCGTATTGGACCGCTATCAAGCAGAAACAAAAGAAAGTTCTTCATTGAAAGGCCCAATAACGACGACATTGACAAGAATAAAAAACACCAAGTGAACATTTTTTTTGCATCTACGTACCGATACGACTTCAAATGTATGAGGATCTATCTCATTCACAGTTGTGGTTGGTGTCAAGATGAATTCACGCTTGAAATGACCGGACCAAGAGCTAATGATAACCAGGCGTGGAGCATCTGTAAGATACAACTACAAACAACAAAACAATAGGACATTAGCACTACGACAGTCAACACCATTCGTGATACAAAGACAGTAAAAAACACTTCTTACGTCTCGAGTACGATTGAACATCTTGCTGTGAACTTTTACTGTTGCTTCAAAACGAATCTGTTCATCACATTTGATGCATACTGGTCGGTGCCTCTGAACCGAGCTACTTCGTGAACGTCTGCTACTGCAAAAACAAACACAGTAAAAGCGTATCCAACTCTTGCATGACATTGTGCTAATGACAATACCTGAATTCATCCGACGCGCTTTCGGAAAATTCACCCGAAAAGTATTCTGCAACGGTCCAGTTCTCCGATGCGCCATCCTTGTTACACACATTCGGCAGGTTAGTCACGCCGACCTAACAACGTACATCGATTCAAACGTACCAGCTTCGCTTCGGGAAGAATTAGCTCGGGGAGGGCTGTACGGCGGAGTTTGATCGCCTATATCATCCCATTCGATACCTTCAAAAAATGGATGATTCTGAACAAGCACAGTGCTGTTAAATCTTGCAATCCACAAACCCAGATAGTCGCCACCTCACCTTCAGCGCGGCGTAGCCCTCTTCATTCTGCGGAGCACCAATGCGTTCGTCTGGGTTCTACAAGAATGTAAGATAGGTCAGTCTTCGGCACAACTCACAGCTGCTAGTGAAATGACTCAGACGTAGTAAAGTCAAGCCATCAAGTTGTTGCTCAAAACGAAGTACCTGAACGAGAAGCTTTCGAATCAGGTCCTGTGCAGTTTCTGGAACACTGCTTGGGATATCAAATTCTTCGCTCGAGTGATTTATTATCTGCAAGCCCACATAATTAGTATAAGCAACAAGCAAATTGTTTTAGAGCACCAGTCTAACCATTTGAAAAGTCAGGTAATCATTCTCTGCCACAAAAGGAGCTCGCCCAGTAAACATCTACAGTACGTGTAGCAACATATCGTTAGTTCTACCTCCGTGAAAGCACTAAAACACCACAAGTTCAACTGTTCCTGAAAAACCAAACAGCCCATGGCCCACAGGTCGGCAGCTCTTGAAGCAGGCTTATCATGTAAAACTTCCGGTGATACGTACGAAGCGGTGCCACAAAATTGGCCTACATCACTGGTCTCTCCATCTTGATCCTGCATGATAGACCTGGACGATTAGCACCATTGTAGTACCACTTCTCGTGAAGCTACTCCTCACCTTTGCAGTACCAAAATCGATCATCTTTAGATGACCTTCCTGACTAAACATCATTCAATCAGCAAATGGAGATCCAATGAGCGAATGTCAGCACTATGCAACAAGTGTATATCGTTACTCAACGCACACTGAAGCGGAAAAACAACTTACCTAAGTAGCAGATTGTCAGGTTTAATGTCTCGATGAATAACATGCTGCATTATAGTCAGTAAAGTAAGAATGGGCATCCACAATAACAATAAGCACACAAGTCGCCAAGAAGACGTACCTGAGAGTGCATGTATTCTAAGGCAATGACCAGTTCAGCCATGTAAAACTGCGTCAATTCAAAAGAGCATGCAGCATCAACAATTCCCTGCTCCTGCTTTTTTTGATATTCTTTGCTGTGTACAAATGTAGTCAAGTAAGTAGCTTCGTTAGCACTTGGTGAAAAACACTACAGTTCTGAAATTACAAACTGCAACAACAGACACCACACACCGTATAAGGCCAAAGAGATCACCACCACGACACAGCTCTAGGACTAAGTATAAACTGTGATGATCCTGTCTCCATCGTCAACAAAAAACAGTAGAAAAAACCAAGACAATGAGACGAGAGACATATCATTCATATTATGCTGTCTCCATCCAGACGTCGCCTATTTTTGGTCATCCAAAATGCTGTAGAAACTGTCTTCCTTACCCGAAAACTGCAGTAAAACTTGGCAATCAGTGGATGGGAAAGTCGTGACATGACTTTACGTTCCGTCAGCACAAATTCCGTCTTATTTTCCTTACGAATGAAGCTCTGGTCCATCACTTTTACAGCAAAATCCTGACGAGTTTTCTTCCTTTGTGCATGAAAAACCTACAAACGAACAAATACAAGACATCATAGAAATACTTAGGAATGATTAATATACTTATAGCTCATCATTTTACTCACCTTGGCATACGAACCTTGACCTAATACAGTACCAAAGAAAAAATCACTAGCCTCCGGTGCAGTCTCGAAATGCACGGAATGTGCTGGTGTCATGGCTACAAAATGACGCCAACTTTCTATTGAAAAGACGTCCGTCTGTCTGTCTGTCCGTCGTCGTTCGTCATGAATAAAACTCCTGATTCGGGTTTTCCACGAATCATAGGAATGAGCGTTTTATCCAATCAGTACTTATTCGGATCAATTGATTTCAACCAATCATATACTTCTCTCACCTCCTCCTCTCGTAGCTCCTCGACAATTCAAAAGCCACAGACAGACACAGGGAAAAGTCTCTTTCTTCTCTCTCTCTCTCTCTCGTCTCTCTCTCTCTTTTCTCTCTTCCCTCCCTCTCTCTCTTCTCTCTCTTGTATTCTATATTAAGACTCACTTACGACGTACAAGATGGTTTCATTTGCTTCACCTCTTTTTTGGCAAATTAATTACTTAGTAACAAATCTTAATAAGAAGAATTTCAAGTCAAATGTGGCCGAATTAAACCAGGTCTTGATTCCTCTTTCTCTCTCTTTTGATCTTGTGTTCTTGTGCTCTTCTGTGTCAATTTGCTAACGTTGTTTTGATGTATTGATACGTGTTTGTAGCTTGTGGAACTTTATGGTGAAGATGCACGTATCTTTTTACTCAATTGTCTTGTAAAAGATATTGATTTCCGAAGTCAAAAGGATTCACTTAAGATTCAATTACTGACACATGAAGTTGCTCAAGCATCTTCACGTCCTAATTTTACTACTTTTATTTGTGAGGTAAGATCATTTCTAGTCTCTTTTATTCTTTATGTAGTTCTTTAATCTTTGTTCTGACATCTCTACTCACTCACTATTTATTGTTATTTATATTCTTCTATTATTATAAAATTTAGGCAATTGAAGGACGTTCATTAGACTCGACGGGTAGTAGTGAAAAACGTCATGTGACAGAAGAGTTTTTGCAACTTTTCTGCAAGACGCTGAAGCTCAGTCTTCCCCAGCAAGTGACAGTTGGCCTAGCCTTTGCCCAAGGCGAGAACTCTATTAACGCTGGCGAAGCCATTCAGTTCCTGCGTTCTAAGATCCCGGAAATCTCATCCTGTAGCACGAAATTACCCTCGGACGTTCTCCACTCGCTTATCTTCGTCCTGCGCATGAAGAAAGAGTTCCACGTGAAAATTGCCGAGACTGATTCATTTCTTGCTAGCATATCTTCAGCTCATCCGAACGACATGGGTTCGTTGGAGATAGCTCCGCTCATCATGGGTAACCTCGAGCACGTCGACTGTGAGCCTGTAACCGACTCGGACTCGCTCAGCAAGCTCATTTCGGATGTCTCTTCAAGTTGTCTGTTTTATGAATTGATGGAAGATGTTGGCTACTCTTGTACGTCGTCCACACAAACATTTCGCACCCTCCTGGCTGAGGCTGGACTTGCAATGGCTTCTACGATCCCGCCGGCGCAAGTTGCAGGAATGCTGGCAATGCTTTCGCGAACGTACACTGCATTGGATGCGGCGCAAGGTGCAACCCTGATGGCGAACCTTACGATTGATTTCGAGGCAACTCCGTTAGACGAAGCAGCTGCAACGCCTATTCGGGAAAACTGGGACCTTGACGTTATTGCAGACGTGTTGCAGAAAGATTATGGCTCGATCAAGTGGCTCAAGGTGGCGGAAAAGTTGGACCGTGTCGACCTCAACATTCAAAATGTATCTCAGCTGCGTGTGCTAATTATGGCATTCCAGCGGTTTTCGCAAACCAAGTTTCGCTTGACGACATTGCTGCGTCCATGGAAGAACTGTCGTGCGCACATTAGTATCCTGAAGGCAGCTGTTGAGGCGCCACCGGAAGTGCTCTCATTTTCCGAATCCCCGCACAAACTTGCACCTTTTGAAGGCGCCGATGCTTCAGCTGTCCCCAAGAATGGTGTGTGGTTTTCATTAGATATTGTGGACACACTGCTGCAGGTGTCGGAGCAAGATTGTTACGGTGACGTGCGCAAGCTCTTGGATGGGGCCATGAAGACGTGTCCTGATGTTTTGATCGCCAACTTGGCTCAGGCTTCACCGCGTTGGAATGCGCTGCGCGACGATATGTTCTCGGAGCTCTTTAGCACGTACATTATGGGGCGCCCTAATGCACCACTTATCATGCGCCATTTATGGTCCATGGCGCCAAAGTTAGTGTTATACGCAAGTGTGAAGTGCTTCTACGCCGCGACGGCCCCCCCATATAGTCTCGCGGCTATTCGCACTCTTTCGGAATACGGGCGATGCGTTTGCGTCAGTCATCCACTCGAACTATTTTTCCTTTGCCTTGGCGCTTGCTACAATGGGAGCCAACCATGATGTGCTAAATTTGGAGACGTGGTTGGTGGAGCGCTTGGCATCGCAAAGGACGGCATTTGCGACATCATGCCTTGCCTTTGTGCACCGCAACTACGCTCGTGCCGTTCCGAAAAGCAACATTACCCCACAATCCAGTCATGTACTGTCTATTGAGTCAGTGGCGACTATTCTAAAGTGTATCATGGCGGTGCAGGGGGCGCTGCCCGTTACTATCGCACAAGAACTCAAGCGTATTATTACCCTTTGCATGGAGGCCCACCCTGTGATTTCAGCATCCGCGCATCCGTCTGGAGAAGAAGCCATCGATCACGCACCAGGGGCGGTGGGAGCTACCGTTGGCATTGCTACTGGTGCTGTAGCAGCTGCAGGAGCTGGAGCTAGAAGCGAGCCGACATCATCGGGTGCAGAGGCTCCGTCTTACACGGCAGAAATGATTGAGGAACAGGCGAACGCTTACTTCCAGCAAATTTATACATCGGAGCAAAATATTAACGATGTTGTAGCAATGCTGAAACGCTTTCAAGGTTCTCGCGACGAGCGTGAGCGGCAGATCTTCTATTGTATGATCCATAATCTTTTTGATGAGTACCGATTCTTTCCGCGGTACCCGGAGATGGAGCTACGCATTACTGGCGTTCTCTTTGGCAAACTCATTGAACACCAAGTGCTTCCACCAAATTTTCTCCAGACTGCATTGCGTTCTGTGCTGGAAAGCCTTCGTGAGCCTGTGAACTCGAAATTCTTTTTCTTTGGTGCCTGCGCGCTTCAGCAATTTGTTCCGCGGTTGCGAGAATTGCCCGCATACTGTACGAACCTGTCGCAGATCCCTCACCTTCAACATGCATTGCCAGAGATCATGCGCCAAGTGAATCAAGTAACTCGCTCAATAGCACTGTCAGGACCTTCGCAAGATACGAGTGCCGAAAGTGGATTGTCTTTGTTGGGTAGTACGTTACCGCCGTTAAGTGGTACTGGCGATGGAGACGGAACGACGAGACTAAGTAGTAGTGCCGCATCATTCGGTGCTGGCTCACCGCCACCTGAAGGATCTGGTGCAAAGGGTCAAGACGAGACTGCGTTGGGTATTCAAATTCCAGCATCGATCTTAAGTCGGTCAGCAGGTCCGTCACTGGCATCTCCTTTGCCCAAGTTACCAGCTGCCTCGCCACCGCCTCCTGCAGCCCCTGCACCAGAGTTGAAGGTGAATCATATTTTCCACGAGTCGGTGATGGTGGATGAAGACGAGGCTGTCGAGCAGCCTGACGAAAACGTTAAAGATCGCATACACTTTATTGTGAACAATATGTCCATATCCAATTTGGAGGCGAAGATTTCGGAGATGCGCAAGATGCTGCTGCCTGTGTATCATGCCTGGCTCGCGAACTACTTGGTGGTAAAGCGCATTTCAACCCAGCCGAATTACCACACGGTTTACTTGATTTTTGTCGAAAAACTTGTTCGACCAGAACTTGAGCGTGAGATTCTGAAGCGCACCCTTCAGAATACACGGAAGCTGCTAACATCAGGAACGATCACTACCAACTCTCAGCAACGCTCGTTACTGAAAAATTTAGGCTCGTGGCTAGGTGTCTTTACTCTTGCACGTAACAAGCCCTTGCTGCAACGCGATTTAGACTTGAAGGAGTTATTATACGCGGGCTACGAAACTGGCCATCTCATCGCCGTGACACCATTTGTTGCCAAGATTCTGGAAGGTTGCAAGAAGTCGAAGATCTTTAAGCCGCCAAACCCGTGGGTTATGGGTCTTATCCATGCCATGAGTGAGATCTACGATGTTCCGGACCTCAAGCTTAACCTCAAGTTTGAAATTGAAGTTCTTTTCAAGTCGTTTAAGCTAAATGTGGAGGATCAGCGCAAGGCACATCTTTTGCATACGCGTCGTGCACCGCCGCGTACGGCGAACCCTGATTTTAATGTCAAGGTCCCGAAGAACTCAGCCATGGGGCAGCGATCTGCGACGCCTCCGCCTAGCTTGGGAGCGAAGCTCGATCGACCCTTGACACCAGGAAGACAAATGAAAAAGGCGGGTGATGGGTTTGTGCCCGCGGGAAGTCCGGCTGGGAGAGATGCAGTCCCCTATGGCTCGCTTGGCGCAGCTAATGTTGGTTCTGCGGCTGCGGAGTCAACTGTGATTCCGAACCTAGCTTCGTATGTCGCTGTAAACCCTGAGCTACCGCTGCGTAACGTTAACTTGCGTCGCCTTGTACCCCTTGCCGTGGATCGTGCTATTCGTGAGGTGATCTCACCTGTGGTGGAACGCAGTGTAACAATTGCATGCATTACTACGCGCGAGGTGATTTTGAAGGACTTTGCCACAGAATGTGATGATGCAAAGATGCGTAAGGCGGCGCATTTGATGGTGGCGTCAATGTCGGGATCGCTGGCACTCATTACAGCAAAGGAACCGCTTCGCAATGCCATTGGTACGCACCTCCGTGCTCTGCTTCCTACCAATGCTGGGGATCCGCAACAGCTTGAGCATGTCATCCAACTTTGCTCTAACGAAAATACAGACTTGGGCTGCATGCTAATCGAGAAAGCGTCATCTGAGAAAGCCATGCGCGACATTGATGAAGCTCTTGCAGGCGCGTATGCATCACGCCGGCGTTACCAGCAGCAGCAAGCGCATGCTGGTACGACACAAGAGGCCGATGGAGTGCACTTCTTTGAAGGCAGTGCAAGTAGCACGGCAGTAGCTGCTTCCGTCGGTTCGTCGGGCGCTCCTAGTGGTCAGTGGCCGGCAGCTTTACCGGAAGTGTTTAAGCCCAAACCAGGCGGAGTTCCGCCCATGCAACTTGTGGTATACGAGGCGTTCCAACGCATTCCACGACCCACTTCCATGCCTCTTTCGTCTCGTGCCGGTGCTGGTGTATATCCAGGTGGCGTGACCGAGAAGGAAGGAGACACTGCTGGTGTGAGCGTGACGGCAGCTTTGGACCGCTTTGCTGGACTGTTGGAGCGTTTTGAGCTATTCGTGCAGAAAGTGGTTCGCCAGGCTGCGGCTACCCAGCGTGAGCTTCCGTCGCTGCTGGCTATTCCTGCAGAAAGCGAGGTGTTTTCCGTTCTTCGTGAGGTGCGTGCACTTGGGGGGAAGTGTGCGACCAGCACTGCGTGATGAAGCGTGTCTGAAGATTGCGAACCGTATTGTGAAGTTTATGTACGAGCTGGGCAACGGTGGCCGAGGCAATGAGTTATTTTTGGAAATTCTTGTGAGCTCGTTGGAGGCGCTGACTGCTAGCTGTGAGACGCTTTGCAAAGAAATTGTGGGCTGGGTATTGCGCGCGCCAGTCGATGACAAGCTAAAGCTGCACTGTGAAATAATTGTGGCCCTCATCCGCTACAAGGTGGTGGATGCAAGTGAGTTTGACTTGTACATGGCGCGCAACATGGAGCGCAACAGTGTAGCGATCGAGTTTGCTGTTCACGTCGTCCGCCAATGCCTGATGATGGACCACGTTGGTGTCGCTACTCATTTGTCAAACACTCTTGAAGCCCTTGCACGCATTGTGGAGCGTCACGGAGGTGCTACCGCGAATAAGAATGTGCAGATTCTTGCTGCATTACTGGAGCAAGCGCGCTCGCAAAAGATGCAAAATCGTATGGTGCCACCGGTGTCACAAAAGAGACTGGGTGTAATTGGCAGTGGCGCTGCGAAGGTCTCTGGGGACCGGCCTCTGGTGCAGGAGCACGCTGCTTTCCGGCACACCGTAAGCAACGCTTTGGAGCACTGGATTGCTATCTACAAGGAGCCTACTAGAAACTCGAAGATGCATGCTCAATATCTCCAGATGCTGAAGCAGTACGGATTGCTTGCTGATGACGAAAGCATATCGCTCTTTTTCAAGTTTGGCACGGAGCTGTGTGTGGATGCGTGTTTGAAGAGTTCATTTGCTGCAAGCGACGCTACTGCGCTCAAGGCAAAGGTTCCGTTGAACTATGCGGTATTGGACGCACTTACGCATCTAATGGCGCTACTTGTTAAATTTCTTGATTCCTCGCCCGCTGCAAAGCTCCAGGTGCTTAACCACGCTGTTGGTGCCATTGCCAATGTGTTAGTCGCGGCACATGACCTCTCGCGCAAAAAGAAAGCGCCGTTCGACCAGCGCGTATTCTTCCGTATGTTTGTGAACCTCATCAAGGAGCTGACAGCGCAAGAGCCGGCTTTGGATGCGATTCACCTCCAGGTTCTTAACACATTTGCCAGTGCGTACAACACGTTACAGCCGCTGGGATTGCCTGGCTTTGTGTTTGCTTGGACGGAGCTCATCTCGCATCGTTGTTTCATGCCGTTGCTGCTGCGTGCGAAACAGCAGCGTGGCTGGCAGATTTTACACCGCCTTCTTATGAACCTGCTGGTGTTCATGGAGCCGTTCTTGCGCCATGCAAACTCCGGCGTGCCACTACCAGATTCTATTGCGGCGCTTTACAAAGGTGTGGTTCGCATCATTTTGGTGCTGCTTCACGACTACCCGGATTTCCTGAGCGACTTTTACACGAGCTTTTGTGACGTGCTACCGGCCGCTTGTGTCCAACTGCGCAATGTAATCCTATCGGCGTTTTCTCGCTCGATGCGGCTGCCTGACCCACTCACCCTGGGCCTACAGGTCGCTCAACTTCCAGAAGTAAGCGTGGCTCCCCGACTAATGCCTGCGTGGGGAGCTGCACTCACCCACAACGGCATTAAGGAGTATGTTGATGAGTTCCTGCATGCGACAGCAAACCGTGCTTCAGTATTTCCCACGGACCTCATTTCCAAGCTGATACGCCCTGCTGCTCAGCTGGAGCGTGATCCGACGTCCTGCATGTACTCGCTGCCCGCTCTCAATGCAGTTGTACTGTATCTGGGCAAAGAGGGCATTGCGGAAATGGCTAATGGTGGGTTTGCGCCTACGAGTCCGCCCCCGACGCCGTCTGGAGCTGACGGCAACGGAGCTTCTAGTACGACTAGCAAGTTTGAACAAAGCGCCGCTATGGATGTTTTCCGTTATCTTGCAGATGAGCTGGACACGGAAGGCCGTTACTGGTACTTCAGTTCTTTGGCAAACCATCTGCGCTACCCAAACAGCCATACGCACTACTTTAGCTGCGTTATTCTGTACCTGTTCTCGTACTCCAACAATAAGATGGTCAAGGAACAGATCACGCGGGTCCTCATTGAGCGTCTCATTGCAAATCGTCCACACCCGTGGGGCTTGCTGGTGACGTTTATTGAGTTGATTAGAAACAAGAGCTACAAATTCTGGGAGCAGGATTACCTCGAGTGTTCAAGCGAGATCAAGGAAGTGTTTGATGATGTAGCTCGTACGTGTCTCGGCTCGACCCCCGGCACATCAAGTGCTAGTCCGTTGGCCTCACTTGGTGGCAGTACTACAATCCCAGCTACCTCTCCTGGGACTTCGTCGTAGATGAACCAGTCATTGTAGCAACTCATAATAATGCATGTTATTGTTTTACAAGCATGTAATGTCTTGAGCTTATTTGAACGACGAAGCGTATGAGATGACCTTTTGCAGCTACAGTAAACCTCCCTGTCCACTTCCACCTTGTTCATGCATCAAGAGTCCTTGCTCAGCAGTGAGTGACCGTTCGTTCTTTCTACTTTTCAAACTTGCGCAGAATATTAAACGCTGCAACATATTGCAATGCCGTGTGCTTGAGACTGTACTCCGTGTTTGGTAGCCCCACTTTCTCAAAAAGTGCAGACAGATTCTCTACGGGTTTACGCAGATGGTCAGGAGAAGCAAAATTGCTTAGAAACTCGTCAATAAGTGGATCCACATGCGAGACTGTGTAACACGGCGAGTATTGAACTTCGATAATGAGACCTCGAGGCACGTTATTCCGGGACATGAACGTACAAACGCTCACTAAGAAATCTCCCACCACATACTGTGTACCCTATATACATCATCATCATTACATGTCACATATATCCACCCAAGTAGAGTCATGTCAGTCTTTCATACTCCATCAAGTACACAACCACTTGATTCTTCTTGCTGCACCTCAAATTGACCGTCCGATTTAAACGCATAAATCTCGACTTGTTGCAAGATATTCGCTCCATCTAATCCACATTCCAAGAGTGAACAATTTTCCATCATTCCTTCAATTCCATTATCACTTGATGCTAAACCCTGTGCCTTTTCATTTGCTATTACAGCATACACAAGATCATCATTCTGTGACATTCGTAGCATGAACATTCGTTGATTCCCATAACCAGCTGCATACATCAGAATCACAATAATCACATTAGTCCTAATGTTATTTTTCGAGCTCAAGTATTGTCAGAATTCGTTTTACTTAAAAGTGTCTTGCGATTAAATAGACGACAATGTACCACATGTCGTCCAATCTTTTCACCGCCCATTGTCTCTAATTTACGCAATAATTCTTGATACTTTTGCGTAATATTAACACCTGGAAGGATTACTACTCTATAATAGAGTGACAATAATATTGTGCATGAAATACACACACACATACATATGTGTGTGAGATTACAATCACAAAACTAGACAGCAATGGAGGTATCAATACTATGGTGTTACCTTGTCATACCCGTCATTATAAAATCGTGTGTCTATGGCTGATTTGTTGTATTGTTATTCTTAAATGTAATATTGTAATGTCACTTTCATGAAAAACAGTGGATTATCATCTTGCAATATTCTGGCAAAAGCAAATATTGGTGAATCCCAAGCTGATATTTTTGAAATAAATATTTATCTCTACATATTTTTACAATAATTACACAATTGTAAAAAATAACAATACACTCGTAATGGAAGCCGACGAGGAAGAGCGCGAAGTAGCGACGGCATCGGCCGCATTATTTGGAGTCACAGTACATAATGAATCTGGATATAATGATGATGGAATGGATGGCTCGGACTTACCACCATCATTTGTCATGCCATTACTGAATCGAGATGACGAAGAAGTAGACGGACAGCAAGTATCGGATTTAATCCAAGTGTCAGAAGTGGAGAAACAGGTTGAAGAAGACGGTGATATTCAAATGAATAGTGAAGAAATGAATCATCATATGAATATTCAGAGAATATCAATGGAAACTGAACCAGTAGACAATGGAAAAGATGGTGATAATGATAGAGAAGGAGAAGAAGGAAAAGATGGTACTCAAATAAAAGAGACATTAGATCGACGTGGTTATCAATGTCGATATGAGAATTGTCCAAAATTTGCTCAGGCAGGAGGTTTATGTATCGCTCATGGTGGTGGATATCGATGTCAAACACCATTTTGTGCATTCTTTAATTTACGCACATGTCCAGATCACGGAGGCTCGAAACGATGTGGAGTCACAGGATGTACGCGTGTAGCACTGGGGACTTCGGCACTTTGCTGTGCACATGGAGGTGGACGGAAATGTTCGATTAAAAAATGTAACAAGTATGATGCTGGACAAGGACTTTGTCTAGCCCATGGAGGAGGACGAGACTGTAGGATGAATGGCTGCACCAAGAAGGCAATTCGTTATGGAGTCTGTAGTGGCCATGGAGGTCGTGCACGTTGCAAAGTAGAAGGGTGTGAGAAATACGATCGAGGACAGGGAAAGTGCAAGGCTCATGGTGGCGGTTATTTCTGCAAAGTACAGGGATGTGGCAAAAAGGATAAAGGGGGTGGGCTGTGTGTTGCCCATGGCGGTGGTAAGAAATGCTATGTGGAGGGATGCACCACGCCATGTGTTGGTGGGGGGTCGTTGCAAGGCACATGGGGGAGGCAGACGTTGTCAAGCTGAAGATTGCCACAATTGGGCTCTCAATGGCGGACGATGCAAAGAGCACGGTGGAACGGGCAAGCGCTGCTCGCGTCGCGGGTGTGACAAGCATGACCAAGGCGGTGGGTTTTGTCTTGCACATGGCGGCGGATTTACCTGTACAATCCCGGACTGCACGAAGAAGCAGGTACAAGACTAGTCGGGGCAAAGCATATTCTTGCATAACTTTTGCTGACAATATGTGTTTGCTTGGTTTCTTCTAGATCCGGTTCGGACGGTGCTGCGCGCACGGCGGAAAACCACGATGTACTGTAGCCGGGTGCGAGCGTCTAGGGCAGGCACGTGGACTTTGCAAGGCCCATGGCGGTACAAAACCTTGTAGCTTTCCGGAATGCACACGTAAGGCAAATAGCGGTGGTCATTGTATTCGTCATGGCGGCGGAGGGCGTTGCAAAATGGAGGGATGCGTCAAGACAAATCGCGGTGGAGGCTACTGCAAAGCCCACGGCGGAGGCAAAAAATGTACTGTGCCTGGCTGCAACGACTGGGCCATCGGTGGTGGTCTGTGCCCACAGCACGAAATCTTTGACGCGGCCGCAGTTGTGTCGGTGTGATGGATGTGATAGCGTAGAAGAACAAGCACGCCCTATTATATCTAAACCATGCGTGCGATCGCTCTTGTGTATTTCTTCTTGGTCGTTTCCAAAGCTGAACTTCCCACAAACATTGCCTCTTGTCCTTAGCCGTTGTCTACTTTCTATCATGGACACCCAATATTCTCACGCGCTGTTCATGGACTCTCTTCGCACGATTTTCAAGCTTACAGAAAAGCAAGACCCGAATTGATCGATTCCACTTCTGCAGGCGACAGCGGCAAACGCTTTGCACTGGTAAACGGCAGGACATGACCACTTGACGACTGGACGGGTATCGTACGCACAGGCGACGGTAGATTCACGTCCAAAGGTTTTGACGGCGACGATGGCTTCATAGGCAGCAGTGAACGCTTCCCCAAAAACTCGATAAGCGGCGTACGACGTCCAGCTGTTACCACATCAGCAGCAACAGCAACAGCACCTGTTGCTGCTGCTGACTTTGACGATTGAGACGTCGTATGTTGGTGTACAGATTTGTTGCTTGAATCGCTTTGAATGAGCGTATCATCCAGTGTGAATAATGGTTTTCCCACTTCTACATTCTCTTCCAATTGAGCATAAACCTCTATGATAGTTCCAGCTACTGGACTTGTCACATCCACGCTCACCTTATTATACAAGTTCATCATTGGTCAAAAATTTGTCATTTGTCTTTTTTATGTATGGTTCTATTGTACGAATTTGATTGTACCTTATCGGTCTCAAGTACGAGCACGACGTCGTCGGCATTTACAGGATCTCCTGTCTTTTTAACAATCTCCACAAGTGTTCCTTCACTAATGGAATCACCCATGGATGGAACATTCACTGTTTGAAGAGCGAAACGACCAGTAGACGTATGAAATAAAGCACGATGCAGTGGCAGCGACAGTGATCGAGAGTTCAACATGATCCTTCTACTAGAAAATATGTGGAGAGGGGGTGTCAGTCATTGCTAAAGCACCTGCTAAAGAGAATAAACCTTATTGATAGGTTTCATTCGACAACGTACTTTACCAAAACAAGGTGCGTCTTCTACCTTATTTTGAAAACTAGCAGGAATGATTGTCAACTTGTCTTAGATCACGCTCCTAAGAATGAAGCTCTTCGTGTCTTTACTTACCACGTCTTCTCTTGTCTGTGCATGGCTCTATCGATCCCGCAAGCATCGTATACAGTATGAAAAGTATGTACGTGGCATTTCACAACCACAAAAGTATCGTGGTCTTCCTCTAGTTATTGTAATCGACGTGGGAAGCTCTTCCATCCGAGCCAGTTGTTTTGCGCTAGTGTCTGAAGCTCAATGGGTTCTTATTAATGGCTCTTTACACCAGAAACATATTATTTCTATTGATGTTAATGGTGAGGCCAATTGTGCTATGATTGCATCGACTGTGGAGCAAGTTATGGACCAAACAATCGAGTTCCTAAGGGTTACAAACCTTATACAGAAGCTTGTGGGTATAGGCTTTAGTACCTTTGCTATGAATATGCTTGGGATTGATTCAATTGGAAATGTTGTTACACCAGTGTACACGGTGAGATTTGACATTGAATAGGAGAAGAGTTTATTACATTTACTACTGACTTTGTTACGATACATATATGACTACAGTATGCTGAGAGGAGGAAGACAACGGCCTATTGGGCAAAGGAATTGAAGCAGAAACTCGAAGCTCGTGGAGAACTAGATCAGACGCATAATCGTACTGGTAAAAAAATACACACTCATTATCAACATCCAGCTGCTACTAAACTGACAGCAATGAATGCTGTTGCTAGGAACGGTGATACACCCGGCATACGCACCCGCCACATTCTTACGTCTTCATGAAGAAGAGCCAAATCTAGTGAAGCGTGTTGCCAAATGGCAAAGCTTATCAGGCTATTTGATTGGCAAGTGGACAACCGCGGCGCAAGATGGCTACCTTCCCATCAGCTCTTCGGAGGCCTCGTGGATGGGACTACTTGATTTCAGACGTCATCAATGGGACTCGCGTCTACTTGAGCTTGTTGGGATGGATAGTAGTAAGATGCCACCAGTTGCAGACTCTTCCGTGCCTTTTGCTGGACTAAATGCGACGTTTTCAAAACGATGGCCGGAGCTGAACAATGTACCGTTCTTCTTGGGTGTCTCCGATGGTGCTGCAGCCAACATTGGTTCCAAGTGCATCGACGAATCGTACGTGATGACATCCTCGAAGAGTAACGTTTGATGTGCTTATACGAATTTGATGTTGGAGCAGGAGGATTGCTGTGACCGTAGGCACCAGCGCCGCGCTTCGTGTTGTGCTGCAAGCGGACACAATGACGACAGCAAAAGTGCCAAAGGGTTTGTGGTGCTACCGTATTGGAAAAGACCATGTTCTTCTAGGTGGAGCTCTCAGTGATGGCGGATCGGTGTACAAGTTCTTCCGTGAGTCGCTTCGTCTCACTGATGATGGTACGTCGAGCTATCGTGCTGAGAGCTATATACCACGTGGTGTGATTAACATTAGCGGATTGCTCGATGCTCTTGTACAGATCTAACGTTTTTGCTCGATAAAGTTGCTCCGATGCAGCACGGTCTCATCGTTTTACCATTTTTGAGTGGTGAACGTTCACCAGGCTGGCTGGAAAATGCGACTTGCACCATTAGTGGTATCAACAAGTGGACAACACCAATCGAGTTGTTGCGTGCTGGCATGGAGTCAATCGCTCTTCGCATTGGCGTGCTATTTTCTCTCCTTGGTAAGCCACTGCATCGTGCGACTCTTTACAGCTGTCATCTGTTGACTGATGTGCTTTTTTGTAAACTTTATAATGTCAGCATTTTCTGCTGATTACAATGCAACAGTTATCGTAAGTGGGACTGCGCTTACGTCGTCCCGAGTCTGGCGTCAGATGATTGCCGATTGTCTGGGAAAGAATCTGATCTTTGAAGCAAGCGCCATAGAAACTACTTCGCGCGGTCTTGCGGTGCTTATCGGGACTTATTTAGACCTTCATTGTCTCCAGGCGTCTGGGTCGTTTCCCGAGGGGACCACGCATCTGGAGTACACGCATCCCGATCCAGCAGCACATGCGGTGTACCTTAAGGCACGTCACGAGCAGGAATCTCTTTATCGAAAGCTGTATTTGGAGATGTAAACCTTGCAATTTTTGAAGGTGTTGCTGCAGAATCAAGGGCAATAGCTTGTTGGTTGATCTTGGAGCAAAATGGAAGTGAGTACTCTTAAAATTCGATAAGCCGTCATTACACAATTCCAAATCATTCACACCACTGTTTTGTAAGAGCTGATAGTTTGGGTTCGCGCCATTGCGAATATTCTTCTACTGCTGGGCTAGCCATGTATCCCGGGCAGTTACTGCCGTCTTGCAGTTGTCGCTGAACACGCCGTCAACTCCCATGTCGAAGAGCTGTAAGTACTCGAGCATCGCCTTGCCAGAGTAACTTGCTGCCAAACGGTAGTTCTCGTCACGCATCGTCCATGTGTGCACGTTTAGGCCGACGGCGTGGGCGTCTTTGATGATGTGCGGACATTCGATGATATTGTAGTCGGCATCCGTAATCCGGCCGTCGCCATTTGAGTCTACAATGTCACCACTGTCGTCAACTTTAGCGGCGACGACCTTGAGCAGGTATCGCTTCCACGGAGATATAATGTCAGCATACGTGGCTATCTCGGCTAGACCGGCCGGCGACACTAGATAATTGTAGTTGTCAGTGCGGTTGGCCAGCACCCAGTCGTATGGTCGGTCAGATAGCACACTGAAGGTGACATCACCTGTGATCGGGTCGTTGTCGAAGCCATCGATGAGCTGCACCAGCGTGACGTCGGTGACTGCGTTGAGCTCACGCAAGGTCTCGGTTTCAAAGGACTGGATAAAGACCGGAGCGTCAGCATGGTTCCATCCGTACTGAGTCAATAGCTTAAGCATAGCTTTCTCAATGGGTACTCCAAGCGCCTTATGGAAACTCGAGTGCTTGACTTCCGGGTAAATGGCGATAGTGCGATTATATTCGACAGATTTGTTCTGGGCCAGTTGGATGACCTCCTCAAATGTTGGGATCTGGTAGAGTCCGTTGTGACTCTGGTCGCGCTCGGGCAGCGGCTGTACGGCACGCAGCGTCTTAAGCTCTTTGAGCGTAAAGTCGCTGACAAAGTAATCGAGGACAGGGACTCCGTCCAGTGTCTTGGTAGTGAGACGGTCGGCAAACTCAGGGTGTTCGGCAATGTTGGTGGTGCCGCTGATATAGGGTTCGTGGCGCACGACGAGCACGCCGTCCTTGGTTCTGACGAGATCGGGCTCAATAATGTCGATGCCGACTTCAATTGCGAGCGTATATCCCTCGATTGTGTGGTCTGGCAGATACCCCGGTGCACCGCGATGGCCGGTGATGGTCGGGTATTTGAGTGAGCTGATCTTCCAGTCGGTTGCGGTCATCATAGATGCAGACTGCGTGATAATCTTGCTGTCGATCACAGAAGCGTCTTCGAAAGAAATCGCATTTGCGTTAGAAGCAGTCACGACTACGAGTGTAGCGGCGACGTACGACACGTGAACCATGGCAATGACGAGGGAAGGTTTGAGCGAGACAGCGAGGCTGTGTGCGAAGTTTTGAGCCGTGGTGTGAATTCAAAAGTGAGATGAATGGCAACAGGCTCCTGGATCAGAATTAGATGCGAGGGTATTGACTACGTAGTCCTTACATGTGTTCAAGTAAGGGCCATGATGGGGATAAGAAGCGCCTAGTTGCTACGTGTTTAAGAAAAAGAGACCGTACTTTCGTTTGCTTTTGCACGCATGAATGAATGAACGAACAATACGCGACTTGATCGTTATCATTTCAAGTGACAAGATGAGAAAGTAAAGCAAATGAATCATGCAATCGTGTAGATGATAGGAAGCTTTCGTGAAAGCCCCATTTAATTTAGGAATGAAAGAACGGTTTAAATAACCTCTTACTTGATAATTGCTTGCGTCTTGGTTCAGGGGAACATATAAAACTAGATCCGTTAGCTACGTGAACCAAGAACCTGTAGGCTGCTTCTCTTTTCGTCGGTGCTACCTACAGCTGCGATGTGCTGTCGCGATAATCTAAAGTCTGGACCAAAATCTCTGGAGCTTTCACCACCAAAGAAGTTGCCATTTCAGATGCACATTGCATTCCGGCTAATGAACAAGTTGTGTGGATCGAAGATTCAGAGCATTGTTCGATCATGAGGTAAACAGACGAAAAGCATTGATTGATAAACACTGGAGAGGATGATACAAGTGGAGTAAGATATTTGCATTATAGATAGGGAATGAAGCAAGAAGGTGACGAGATTTAGATGAAAGAAAAGTACGATTGTCAATGCTGCTAGCACGGAAGGTACGACCAAAGTCGCTACTCTGTTTTTATTGAAAGGAGGATCAGAGAAGTCATACAAGTGTTGCTTATTCAAACAGCTATAGTATGCGTCGCCATAGAAAAGGCGACTGTTTCCCGCCCTTCGTTGGTGCTGCATGCCTCAAGGTAATAGTACTGAAATGTCTATCCGGGACCTGGTCGAGAAGCTGCAGCTGAGAGACGGACGGATTCATTCGTTATATGGGAACGGGTTTGGATTGAAAATTCGGTAGAGAACGTAAGTTGCTACCATTCAATACATTAGGCCTCCAGATTTCACTACCGATGCTGGGATCAAATCGATGTTATTTCGCCGTCATAACACAACTGCGCACTTGAGATGACAACAACAGTGCTGCTATGTTAGACAAAACATATTGAACAAGTCACATCGTGCGTCGATATTTCATGTTTGTTGAAAGGAGCAATGAACTTACAGTTTAAACAAAGCTTTTCTATCACCATGCAATTCTAGGGACCTGTGGCCATTCAACTGAACAAGGATTGGAGCAGAAAAGAACACACTGCTACCAGCCAGTCTACTTTACGGTCAAGTTGGTATTCGCATGACAACGGTGATACACAACGATATCAATTGACAAATATCATATCACTAACGTGAAACAGTTGACAAAAGTCAGCTGTGAAGATGTTTGCTACGTCAAAGTACAAGTGACATTTTGCGGCTTAACTCAACGCCAATGTTACTACATGTGATTGTGTATCGGAAAGAAGGTATTGCGAACGTTGAAATTCAACTCTTCGATAGCCATGGGGGTCTCAAAGCCACCGCCTAAACGGCAATTTGATACTTTGGCTGGTTTTACTGCAGAGGTTTGGCAAACACGCTGTTATGCCCGTTGGCACTACACTTTACGGCATTGCGTGGTGAGATTCTCCGCCATCGTCTGCATCTAATTACAACTCAGTGCACTGTAGTAAAAATTGATGTATAGGAGCACTATAGGCGAATTGGTCATCGAATCCGAATCGCGACACACATGCTGAAGCCGAGAAAACCATTGCTCCGATTTAGAGCCAGCGATGTAATATGCTTCCACCGTGTCAAGCATGAATCCACTTTTAGCAACACGCTCGGGTTGGTAGACTTGAAAATTGGGAGTTGCCTGCAGATCTGGAGATGCAATGATCACAAATATCGGTTGTTGCAGGAGTTTTGCCATCATACGAAGCGTAACTTCTGTGCCCCATTGTTCCACCGGCACATACGACGAGATTGAGGACGGTGACCGCGCGATATCGTCAATGTATTGCTGAAACAATAGATTCGATTCCTCTGCTGTCTCGGGTACCTTCAGCTCCTGATCGTCGATGTCCAGTTGAGTGCTCACTAGTATGGCTTGTCGGATGTCATGCGGAAATTCTACTTCGTAAGCATGACGGCTCGCTTGCTTGATCCCTTCCTTTAAGTGCCGAGTCATTTGCTCCAACTCCTCAATATGATTTGACGTGTCGAACTGAATGTCGAGCAATGACATCGCTACAGCATAGTACTGGCCATTTCCAGTGGCGGGTGTAGGTGCGATCTGAAGTCCGTATTGCGCAAGAAATTCCGCCCCTGTCATTCCAATTTGCATTGGGATCTGCCACCGTGAATCGGTGCAAAAGGGTACGAAAACCTTGCTATCATGGGAACCTTTGATTAAATCTGCAATGAGATACTGCTGCTCGACCAAAGGCGCTGGGAAGGCGATAAATGGGACTGCATTTGCACGTTGCGACGAGGTACCAGCAACCTGCTTTTTCAATTTTGAAATGTCCAGATTGTTCTCTCCGTCGGTTTTAGCTCCAGAATGTGCTGTGATTGAGTACATTACAGTCTTGGACACTGTGGTGGATGAGCATCTGTCAACAGCGTCGACGTTAGGGGGTGTAGCGTAGGCCCTGATGTCCCCCTTCGAAGCTAAAAGTGCCAAAACAAAGTAACCAATGTACCAAACGTTAATCATTGCTGCTCGGCGACGAAGCGAAGCGAAGTGGCGGTAGCAGGGGTAGGAAAACCACACTGCACGTAGCCTTGTATCTGCCGACACTAGGAACAGGTTAGTGTTCTAATGCGTAATCGACTTAATAAATGCCGGTTAGTGCAAATATCAAAAAGGTAATGCGTGTGATTACAACTAGCGGCCTGACGTGTTAGTGTCAACCGCGAAGAAGTCGCTCAAGCCCGAAGCACTGTTCCACGTATCTTCGTAAGAAAGAAAATGGATATATTATGCAGATTAAAAAACCTTTAAGTTAAAGTTTCTTAACCTTACCGGTACAATCCGAACTCTAAGGCTTAG